TATATTGTTTTCTACTCACTTAATCCTAATAAAAGAAATTCAGGATAAGTGTTGATAAGATATATGTTTATTACACTCCAGGTTAAAATGCATATATATATATATATATATATATTCTTAAAATTTAGGGGGTGTCAAACTGGGTGTGACACTGATAACTCAAAAATATATTTGTACATTCTAATAAAATAAGAAAGTAAAGTGCAAGCAAAATTCTAGTAGTGAGTGTACTCTAAAATCTCCAATATTTTTATGAATGCCATATGTGAAAATACAAGCAATAATCTTAAAAGTTAATTACATTTCAATAATCATAAGAAATTAATTTTTGCTAGTACTTAATTCATGCTTTATTGATCAACTAAATCTTTGAATAAATCGCTTCTAGTAATTTAAACAAATATTAATATATGTAGTGAGATTGTGAAAGAAGTGTCCTAAATTATTGGTGCTCACTTTATTATATTTCTCTCATATTTCATGAAAAGGGAAGGGTTTAGTGGAGTATAGAGAGAGAGAGAGAGAGAGAGAGAGAGAGAGAGTTAAGGGTAGGGTTATGTAGTTCAGAACATTTGAGGTATTAGGAAATCTAGTGTTCATTCTTTGTGTGTATAGACTATATCGTAAGCTGGATTATTATATATAAATTTCGAGAAAAGAAATTAATTGATGCTTAGATTGAAATTGTGAGAACCCTTGAATTTCAAGATCTTTGGTGCATGTTAGTCTGTACGAACCGTCTGTACGAATTAAACATCGTGTAGGTTAGTCTGTACGAACTGAACATAGTGCATGTTAGTCTGTACGAATCATTTGTACGAACTGAACATGGTGCAGATTAGTCTCTACGAACCGTCAGTACGAATTGAGTTTGTTTGCATGAACTGAACAAGTTTTTTTAACAGAGCCCATCGTCCAGGGATGAAAATCAATTATCGTTAGTACAATATGTGGATAGAGGAGATCATCCCGAGACAAACAAAAAATATTATCCGTACGACCTAAAATATCTCAGCCCATTAAATATCCCATTCGTTCGATTTTGAAGAGAGAGAAAGAGAAGGAGAAGAAGAGAAAATTCACGTTTTGGGCGACTTTGGTCAGTTTTCGTCCGTCGTTGCAGTTGAGGAAGTTGATCTACTCCAGGTAAGACACATTATGCTTGTCTCAATTTTCAGAAATGTGAGTTTTGACGAATATTCCGATTAAAGTTTTATTTCCGTTAGCGAAAAACGGGTATAACTTTGTACTGGTAAAATTTTTACATCGTAACTTTTGGTATGCAATAGAGATTATGATTTTGCACGTTTTGAATATTTTCTTGAAATTTTTCACTGAGTATTTTGAAATATGCAGGATTTTTATCGAATAGAAAATTATCTGAATGTCAAAAAAATAGTGTTTCAGTATAATAAAAGCTTTGAAATGTTATTTTATACGATCTCTAGTAATTTGGTAAATTTATGAAATTATGCATTTTTTATTCATTGGATTTTTTGTTGTCTATCACTATACGAAAATGTGAAATTTGGATGTGTGCTCAATTACCTTGTATTTGTTATGATGTGATGTTTTGACGTGCCTATGTGATTGAATGATATCTGTTGGAAGTTATAAGGGGCCAGAATCCTTTGAGATTATGTCTGTGTCAAGGAATAAAGGGAGGCATAATGGGCCAGAATCCTTTGAGAATCTATCTGGATCCGGGAAATGAAATCTGATCTGAATAATTATATATATCTGATATATTATGGTGCTATAAGCATAAAGGGAGGCAAAAGGGGTCAGAATCCTTTGAAATTCTTTCTGTGTTAGGAAAATTTAAAAGGGACGCATAATGGGCAAAAATCCTTTGAGATTCTGTCTGTGTCAGGGAAAATTCTGAATAACTCTAAAATGTGTTTTGAAATATGATTTGACATGTGATATGGATTATGATTTGAACGATTATATGATATAAATTTTATTCAGTTCTTCTGTATCTGTTATTTGATTCTACATGATTATCTAAATTATGTCTGATTATATATTTTATACGATTATCTGAATTCTATCTGATTGTCTGATTTATGTATGATTATCTAAATTCTATATGATTGTCTAATTTCTATAAGATTATCTGCATTTTGTCTGATTTCTGCATGATTATCTAAATTCTTTCTGATTGTCTGATTTCTGTATGATTATCTGAATTCTATCTGATTGTCTAATTTCTGTGCGATTATCCGAATTCTGTGTGTTTATCTGGATTTCTGATGAATATATAAATTTTGTACGGCTATCTGAATAAGTGAATGAATTGCTATGTATTTCTATTTCATGATTTTCAGTTCAGTGATTTCTTTGATCTGCAATAACTATTTTTAAATCTTTAGTAAAATATTTTGAAATGAGAGTGTCTGGGAATTTAGATCGGCTAGTGTGACCTTGGTGAGCTGTGAGCTCACTGTGGTTTTATTCATGGTTTCGGGATTCGGGAAAGGGAAGGAAGTTGTGGACTAGCCGTTCAGGATCTGATATGAAGTTATAGGTATTTTGTTATTTTAATTTTTGTACAATCATGGCTAGTTTACCTTTCTGCTATGTACTTTCTTTCTGAAGCCATGTACTATAATGTATATGATTGTTTTGATGAATGAAAGAAATGTTTTGTGGATGAGTTTTCTGTATTTGAAAGTTTTTAGTAGCTCTGTGGTTCTGTATGTTAAAGAATACTTGGAAGAAAGTCTGAAAAGTAATTCCAAAACTAGATCCTGGGATTCGCCCTTCGCAGCTCAACACGACAGGATCCGTCCTGGTCGGGTTGTGTTGTGATAAAAATTATTATTTTGGATTTTATATTCAACTCCAGTTTATTTTTCATTATGGTTGAGTTAAAAATTTAAGTTTAGAGATTTAATATTTCTATTAGATCCAAGAGCATCACAAAAACATTTCTACTTCATTCTCTAAATAATAAAATCTCTAGAAACCATATTAAATGCTTTAATGATGTCAAGCTTAGAATTGAAGAAACCCTCTTTTTTGTTGCCTTTGAACTCAATTAAAATCTCTTTTCTAGTTGACTACCTAATATATATGGTGTTACACAAGTACAATGTTGTTTCAAATAATAAAGGATGAGAAAATATCGTAACCACATGGATATATATATAGGTTAAAAAATAGAACATTTTGTTTTTCAAAAAATCATGTCCCCTTTGCTCGCACACGCTTTGTTATGCTAGGGGTTTTCCTTAGCCCTCTTCCGATAGTGCTAGTCGTCATTGATGTTGCATGTGCAGATTTTGTGAAAATTTCTCATTTTCCTCCTGTCTCTTTACACTAGTTTGTGGTTTTTCAAAATTTTCCCTATTCGTCCACCTATGCTTGGCGGAATGGCAATGAATAAGATGGTTGATCCTTATTTTTTATATCGCTCTTTCCTTGATGCTTTATTTGGAACTTCCCCAGTTGTGTGTTTTCTTGACCTAAAATCTGCTACCCATCATGGTTTGCCTTCACTGTGGATACTGGACAAGGAGATTCTTGCGCTTACAGCTCCTCTTTAATTTGCATTATTTGGTTATTTTCCTTCTCGCCAACCAAATCTTGGATCTATTCAGAAGTTTTTTTTTTTAATCTCAAGCTAAATGAAGTTTTCTCAGTTACTTTGTTGGATCATTCATATTCTTTGATTAAGTTAGTTAATGTTCTTAACTATAACATATGTTTTTTCCCATAGATCTTACTTTGTTACCTACTACATGAAATTGACCAAATGATCTCTTTTAGTTGATATTGGTGTGGAGTCTCTGGTTATCCCCATTTGGATATTATTCCCTAACTTGCTGATATATCTTTTCTTCCCTTGTATCCTTCATGGCTTGGGATTATTATTTGGTAAATCGTTAAAAGTTGATCATGCTACCTCTATTGGCTCTCGTCCCTTTATAGTGAGTGTTTTGGTTGAGCTTGACATTACCAAAAAAATCCTTATATAGTGTGGCTAGGTCCTGAAAAAATTAGGTACATCCAACATGTTTTGATGGAGGATTTCCCTCCATTTTGGGTACATCCAACATGTTGTGATGGAGGATTTCCAACATGCTTAGTATCTATAATCAATACAGTGAATCAATAGTAGTATCAAACAATATCGAAAGTTTTTAGTAGCTCTGTGGTTCTGTATGTTAAAGAATACTTGGAAGAAAGTCTGAAAAGTAATTCCAAAACTAGATCCTGGGATTCGCCCTTCGCAGCTCAACACGACAGGATCCGTCCTGGTCGGGTTGTGTTGTGATAAAAATTATTATTTTGGATTTTATATTCAACTCCAGTTTATTTTTCATTATGGTTGAGTTAAAAATTTAAGTTTAGAGATTTAATATTTCTATTAGATCCAAGAGCATCACAAAAACATTTCTACTTCATTCTCTAAATAATAAAATCTCTAGAAACCATATTAAATGCTTTAATGATGTCAAGCTTAGAATTGAAGAAACCCTCTTTTTTGTTGCCTTTGAACTCAATTAAAATCTCTTTTCTAGTTGACTACCTAATATATATGGTGTTACACAAGTACAATGTTGTTTCAAGTAATAAAGGATGAGAAAATATCGTAACCACATGGAATAAGTTTTTAGTCCTTACTAGTTAAGTATAATCATATCAATCACTTAATTTATCTTACAAATTAACTAAATTTTTTGTGAAGGAATAAAAATGAAATTAAAATTATAGAGTTTTTAAAAACTTTCCAAATTTTATAATAATTTTTAATTTATGAGTGACGCGGTTATTATGTTCATGCATATTTGGTCTATTAGATTTTAATTGTAAATTAGAGCACAAATAGTTCCTCGTCTCTATCAGCTCGTTAAAACCTAAGTGAAGTTAAGAATAAATATGCTAATCACTAGTTCCATTTCAAGAAAAACATCTCCTTAAAGATCTAAAAATCCTAAAAATGCATATATATATATATATATATATATAAATCCGCCGAACCAAAGGATTTCGGAATCCGGGATTTAGAGCGAATGGCGGAATTTTTCGTCCACGGAGGATTTCGTTTGCCGTGAGATTTGGATTTCGGATTTCGCCCAAATCCGGCCTTAAATCCGCCTAAATCCGCATACCAAACAGCCCCTAGAAGTCTGCAGCAATGGCGGTGTGCTCATCTGGTTCCGAACCTTCGGGATCTATTGGGAAGGGGTGGATCGTGCACAGCCTTCTCATCGGAGCGGCGGTCGCCGCGGCGGCGGTGGCGGCTCACGGAGGCTTTTTCCGCCGGCTTCTATGGCGGGGCGGTTACCGGAGCCGCGTAGTCGGAATCATTCCTGCGAGGTTCGCATCATCGAGATTCCAGGGAAAGCCCCTTGTTCACATACTTGGAAAGCCAATGATCCAGGTCTGACGTTTGCCCCTCTACCTTTTTCAATCTTTGCAATCGCTATTCAGTTTCAAAAAACTGTGAAACTATAATTTTTGATTAACTCCTGTGAAATGTCTTATTGTGGAAAAGGCATTTGATTTTTTTACTTACTTAGATCTTCTTGAAATTTTTGACTGGCAGGCCTTTTGCGAACCTTAAAGCTGTGATTTTTGAGGAAATGCTGATTTTATAATTTGTAGAAGGTGATGAGGAGAGTTATAAGAGTCTACTTTGTCACGACTGATAGGAAGGTGAAATAACCAGTGTCTGCAACAGTGAGCTCATTAGCACCAATTAAGTAGAAGGATGCACTGTAGCTCTAGGAGAAAAACAGCTTTCGTAGGAGAGAGTAACATTTGGTTGTTGGAAATGCTTTGCGCATTGGTGAAATTAGTATTAATACCAGTGGGGAGTGAAAAAAGATTATATAAACTGCCAGTTCTAAGTAGTATTTTTGGCCGGTACATACCTAGTTAGCTGAACTTACGTTACATTTTTGTCACAGAGGACATGGGAGAGAGCAAAGATGGCTTCTACTTTGGACCATGTTGGTAAGTCGATGTTATTGATTGAATTGATTTTTTTTATTCATTATTAGTTAATTTCTGTTCTTCAAGTAGCTCCAACCACCACCTTTTCCGTTGATAATCTTCAAAAGCAAAAATTTAGGGAACTGTACATAAGGCCTTATGGTTGGCCACAAAATTTTCTTTTTTTTTTTTTTTTTTTTCAAATTTTGAATCTGGTTACTAAATGGATTTGATTATTGCTGTTTTGAATGTGTTATTAAAATAATGGATTTCAACATTAACACTTTTGAGGAATATGGTGCATTGTTTTAGTAAACAAATTCAAAGTGGTAATAACTAAATCCAATATTCTAGTAACCATATCAAAAGCAATAATAACCAAATTTATAATTTCGATTAAAAGTTTATTTTTTATCGATGGACTAGAGAAAAATTATGATAAACAATATGATCTTATAACAATTCTTCCAACATTTTAAAGTTGAGAAAGTCCAAGGGCTGAAGTTAAACTACTATCTAGAGTATGAAATGTTGTCATATGCATCAAATGCATTTAAGGTGATATGGTTGCCCAATCCTCTAGGTGCTAAACACAATCTTATGCTATTGGTGGAGCAAAATGGGGCGTTCAAATGAAAATAACTTCATTACTTAGGCTTTTTTGGATGTGTTATGTTTCATTGTACTTTGCTATATATTGTGCTAGTGTGGTGGAATAAAGTGGATGACCATTTGGCAAGATTATTGTCTAAAATGTTGTAAAAGTTGTAGCTGTTTGGTGAAAAAAAAAGTAGTCAAGTTGATATGAATACTTTAATGATAGAAATAAATATTATATAAATTTTGTATTATTATGATGTGATAAATTAATCTTAATTAGTTTTTAATTAATTTAAATAAATAAAATTATTTATTTATTAAATACAACAACTAAAATTCTTAAATGTCTTTTTTTTTTGGAAGCCATATATACAAAATTTCTAACAAAATTGCTTTTTTAGCTTTTATACGATTGGACTTTTTCTCACATCAGTTCTTCCAAATGCCTTAAAATTGTATCTGTTGTTCAAGGAAGCCGAATCAAGCAGTAGAAATCTATATAAAATCGACCCATAATATTTGAATTATGAGGAATACTTTTGAATGGTTTAAAATAATAATTTTTATGCTTTAATATGTGGGAAAAATAAGAATTTTCAAGTTTCATTGCATTGCAAATTCAAAAATATTTCTAATTAGATTGTCTTAAAAAAGAGTAGTTAAACTAAAGTTTTAAGCATGGATAAATTTGCGATAATCTAATCTTTGCTAGTATATATTCCATCTTTATCTTCTCGCATGTATTATCTCCATTACTTAATCTAAAGTCCTTCAGTTCTTCCTCGATCTTATTGAACTCATTCTTTTCATTTTCAATATTTAATACTAAAACTCTTAAGTTGTAGCAGATAAAATTGATTTAAGTTATTTCCTAGTCAACATCTTTGTTTCTTCAAATCTTTATGCTTTTTTCATGTCACCTTATATTGAGTATCATCATAAAAAACTATGTCATCTCCATTAAACTAAGTATTATCAGTCCTCTCTCTAAGAAAGACAAGCATATCACCTCATGCTTTGATGCATGGCATTGGTTTAAGCACATTTTAGTTATGGTGCTCAACTTAGAGGTATGCAAGGTGCAAAGGATTTGTCTCACCTTATATTTCCTGGATGCCTAAGCGAGCATCCAACTTGCTTTTAACAACACTGAGAATAATTGATAATCCGTAATCCTCCTTGGATAGGATTGTCCTAGTCTTCCAAGTGATCAGTTTTTTTTTATTTTTTATTTGAGCATTTTAGTATGCAAGGGTGTATCACTCACTCATCACTAATCTTGGTTGAGGAATAGGCTTCCCAACCTAACTACCCAAGGCATTTAATATTCCACAAGGTTGCCCACAATCCTTTGGGTATTACTACCCAGTGAATCTTATAGGATTTAGGAGAAAAGGGGCAAAGATAATAAACTAGAGTTTACAAATTATGTTGGGATAAATAATGTCTTAACAAATTACTACTTGAAATCGACTAAAATTGGAAGAGCATTACCAATGTGAAGCCAATGTGCTGATTGGAAAAACATCTTATCTTCAGTTCCATTAAATTCTCCTCCTTCCCTTTGATTCTTCCTTGCAAATATTTTTGATTCCTTGCTGTTTTTCCGTGAAAATAGTGGGTAATATTAGTGTTTTATTGTTTCCTGTGATGAGAACTGCAGTTGTATTGCGTTGGAAGTAATTACAGAAGATGAAAACTGAATTATGGAGCTGCTGTTTTCCTCTATAGGGGAGGTGGTATAGGAACCACAGCTGTAGATTTAAAGATGCAGTTCACTAGTATAGCTTCAATGGCTTACAAGTGGCAGGTTTTCTCCTGGACAACAACAGAAGATGTATGGCGACTGCAGGAATAAAAAAATCAGAGGACTAAGTATGGCTGAAGAAAAGTGTGGAGGAAAAATTGGATTTACAAGCTTTATTCACTCTTAAAATTATAAAATAGTCTTTTATTCCCTATTTATAGAAGTAGGATAGGGATTGCTAACTTTAAATCAAAATTTATATATAATGGATAAGAATGCATAAAAATAATTCATTTTTCTAATTAAAGGCACTAATCCAAAATTTAAGACGGGAAATGTGGAACTAACTTTTGCATTCAAAGAAATAACTGCGAAGTTTTCTAAATTTTAGGGATTGATTCTAATTTATAGGAATGGATAAATATCACATAGATGTTGGCATTCAAATAATATTTTTTCCATTCCTCTATCTTTGATGGACTCAAACATGGGTTGTTTAGGCTGATTTTTCTCATTTAGAAGCCTTCCTTGATACATCAAAATTAAAGCTCAACTGCTCAAGTTGAAAAATGAAAGCTCAAGTTGAAACATGGGTTCATTGTGGATTAGAAGAGGACTTGTGGATCTTTTAAAGTGTGCTAGAGATCCTCCTGGATCAATTGAGAACTCTCTATGTAAAGCTAAATATGTCATGGCACAAGAAACAATGGAGGAAAATTGAGAAGGTAATTTAATTTGCGTACACCTATTGATGTTGACATCCGACGGTGAACGCTTACCCTGAGGAAGAGACGAAGATCAACGACCGAGATCATTCCAATTTATCTTAATTTACTAATTGTATTTTTTATGTATTTTTTATTTTTACCCTCACTTGAGGGAGTAGTCCTATGTAAGCTCTAGGGGCATGTTTGCCTTTTTTGAGTTTCTTTTATTTCAAGGCCTATATATAGAGGCCATTGCTATTGTATTATGATGATGGATTATTAATAAAAAAACTTTATGCACTCTTGTACTTTGGGGAGAACTTTGGTGAGATCCCTATGTGAGGGAAGCTTGGTATCCACCAGTAGCAGGAAGTGTCCGGGCTTGTGGTTTGAAGTCCCTGGGTGATGCATTCAGTTCTTCATGATCATGTTTTTTTATGTTATTGTAATTTTTGAATTTTATTTTTTGTTTACCCAGTGATGGAAGGCAACCGATGATCATGTGTGGTTTAGGTGCTCATTGGACATGTTTTCCTTTGGTGTACTAGCTTCTTTGTGTGCTCGTGTTTGGGCTGACTTGGGTTTATTGGGGGCGATTGAGCTGTTGCTTTTCCTTGGCTGTTCGATTCCTGCTCCCTGGCTTTCTCGGTTTCCCTTGCTTTGGCTGTTCGGTTCCTGCTCCCTGGCTTTCCCGGTTTCCCTTGCTTTGGCTGTTCAGTTCCTACTGCTGTCCCTTGGTTTTCCCATTTTTTTGGCTATTCGGGTGGGGGTTCTTTTGTGCATTTAATGCTGCCTTTTTCTTCCCCTTTTTGATTGATTGTGGGGGGCGGCTGTTGATGGCTGTTGGCCTCATTTTCTTTCCCATTTATAGGGGAGTTTTGGTCTGTTGTGGGAAATTTTTTGGAAGTGAAAACAAAGTCAAAACCTGAGGGTTTCTTCTCTAGTTTCAGAGCTATTTCTTCACTTATTGTTTCTTCTTCCAATTCTTCTAACCCTTTCTTCTCTTCACAAGTTTCCGCCCAATTGTATCATTCTTCTAAAATTGAGAGTGGTGTTGGATGGTAAGTTTTTTTTGGATTTGCCGGAGTTGTGACAGACGTTGGATTGGATCAAAGTCGCTGTAGTGGACCATTGGTTTGCATGTCCTTGAGCATTCTATTTACCTAATTTATCATTACATGAGAGGTGACTACTAGCTGGTTGTTCTAAGGGTATTTTTTTTAGTTTTCTTTCCTCTAAAAAAATAATTTCAGCTTGATTAATGTTATATGGTGATTTGCTTACTAAAGTTTGGATTGAGTCGTGTTCTTCTTTCTTTTGTGTTCTCCATCAGGCTTAAATCTTTTTAGTTCCCTCTACTGGGTGAGGGCAGTGTAGCACCCATCAGCCACAGGAAGCATCCGGGCTCATGGTTTATCTTTCTTTCTCTAAACCCTCCGTCTCCTTCTTCATTGATCGTCAGCCCAACTCCTCTCCTAGCTGCTAGCCCAAAAACCCCACTTCCCCCTCCATCCCCCATCGATCGTCCACCCTTCCCTCTCCAAACCGCCACCAACCACTCACCTCTCCTCCCCCCTCTTGCTTGAGCCATCTCCCTCCCTAATCCCACTTCCCTCATAAAGCCTCCTCTTTCCTTAGTTAGATTATCATTAATTTGGAAAGGAATTTAAATTCAAATTAATCCAATTTGAATTTCAATTCCTTCCTAATTAATTACTTTAATTTTGGAAGCTTTCCTCATCTTATTAATTAATCAAATCTAAAATTGATTGGTTAATTAATCCCTAACCCAAATACATTGAACCTAGACATCCCTTCCCTCCTCTCTCTCTAGGTCGGCCCCTCCCCCCTTTCTCTTGATTGGAGCCAATCTCACTTTGATAACATACTTTCCTAAAATATTCTAGATAATTTTGGAAACAGAATCAATCTGATTTGAATTCCAATTTAAATTCAAATTTAAAAAATTTTCCTAAAATATATAGTGTTAAATTAGGAAATCCCTTAAATCAATCCAAATCAATTTCCAATTAAATTGAATTATCTCTCTTTCTAAAATTGAAATCTAATTTAGGAGAGCATTAACTCCACTAATCCACTCCCCAAACCCATGCTTGCCGCTGGTTTTTTCCCCCTTCCCCCCTTTTCTCTCCTCTCCCTCTCTCCATTAATTCCCCTTCCCCTTTGGAATTAAATTTAATTTCAAATTCCAAATCTCTCCAAATTAAAATTTGAAAACTTAAATCCAGATTTTAAGTGGCTAGCCCCTCCCGTTTCACATCAGTTTGGTATTAGAACATGGTTGTGCAAACCAGGATGCGTACTTGACGGAGTCGAGCTTTCTCCCACCTTGGGAGAATGATGCGAACATTCGACGGTGAACGCTTATCTGAGGAAGAGACGAAGATCAACAATCAATATCATTCCACTTTATCTTAACTACTAATTGCATTTTTTTTATACATTTTTCATTTTTACCCTCACTTGAGGGAATAGTCCTATGTAAGCCCTATCTTTTTTGAGTTTTTTTTTTTTAAATTTCATGGCCTATATATAGAGTCCCTTGCTATTGTATTAAGATGATTGATTATTAACAAAAAAACTTTCTACACTCGTGTTCTTTGGGAAGAATTTTGGTGAGATCCCTATGTGAGGGAAGCTTAGTATCCACCAGCCGCAGGAAGTATTCGGGCTTGTGGTTTGAAGTCCCTTGGTGAGGGAAGCGTAACACCCATCAGCCGCAGGAAGTGTTCGGGCTCATGGTTTGTCTTTCTTTCTCTAAACTCCCCGTCTCCTTCTCCATTGATTGCCAACCCAACTCCCTCTCCTAGTCGTCAGCCCAAAAATATCATTTCCCCCTCCGTCCCCCACCGAACGACCACCCTTCCCTCTCCAAAACGCCACCAACCACTCACCTCTCCTCCTCCTTCTTGGCCGATAGCCACCATACCTAGCTCAACCGCCGGCCATCTCCCTCCCTAATCCCACTTCCCTCCAAAAACCTTCTCTTTCCTTAATTATATTATCATTAATTTGGAAAGAAATTTAAATTCAAATTAATCTAATTTGAATTTCAAATCCTTCCTAATTAATTACTTTAATTTTGGAAGCTTTCCACATCCTATTAATTAATCAAATATGAAATTGATTGGTTAATTAATTCCTAACCCAAATACATTGAATCTAGACACCCCTTCTCTCCTCTCTCTCTAGGCCGACCCTTTCCCCCTTTTTTCTTGATGAGAGCCAATCTCGCTTTGATAGCCTACTTTCCTAAAATATTCTAGATAATTTTGAAAAGAGAATCAATCTGATTTGAATTCAAATTCAAATTTCAAATTCTTTTTTAAAATATCTAGTGTTAAATTAGGAAATCTCTTAAATCAATCCATATCAATTTCAAATTTAATTGGATTGATTATCTCTTTCTAAAACTGAAATCTAATTTAGGAGAGCATTAACTCCAATCCACTCCCCAAGCCCATGCTTGCCGCCGGTTTTTCCCCCCTTCCCCCCTTCTTTCTCCTATCTTTCTCTCTCTCCATTAATTCCCCTTCCCCTTTGGAATTAAATTTTAATTTTAAATTTCAAATCCCACCAAATAAAAATCTGAAAACTTAAATTCAGATTTTAAGTGGCTAGCCCCTCCCATTCTACATCACCTACCTTTTTTCACCATAGCATGTGCTCAGCCCATTTACTTTTATGCAGGAAAGTCCTTTACTCCATTCATGTTTCCATATTTGAGAAATAACTTTCCATCTATTCAACTTATAAATTAATTGTATCTTCTATAACATGCTTTCTCATTAGACATGTTCATGCATTAGACTCTCTGTCATGCAAAATAATTATATTGAGATTCTCAACTAGCAAAAGTCATTGAAATGGAGGTTGAAGTGTTGGTTGACTAATTCAATTCATTGTTGCCAGTGAGCCTTTGTTTGGCAAAGTAATAATATAAATAACACTTGTTATGTTGATGAATAACATTTTCCATTAAAACTTAAGCATTGATGCTTTGGCTCAGCGCATTGTTTGTATATGAAACACAAGCTCATAGTAAGTGTGCTTGCGCATTGATTCACCCCATTGAGTTGTAGTGTTTTGCGCTCGAACTTGTAATAGGGCACATAAATGATTAGGCGCAATCATTTAATTCTTTCCACTTTTTTGTAGTCATTGATTCATTGCTTATTGGTTCTCCGTTATCACCCGCTGAAGCTAGTCAATTCTTGGTGTATCTTTTCTTCATGCTCACTCCTCTAGTAGTTCTTATATATATTTTCACCGGTTCTTATTGTTGACACTTGACACTAGTAATTACTCAGTAACAATGTTCTTCTTGTGCCTTATCTTAACAAACTCTTGTTTCATGCAGCCTCCACCTCTTGATCTCTAACTAGTAACTCAATGCTTATATCAATTCTTATATCACTAGTCAACCAACACTTCAACCTCCATTTCAATGAACTTTTGAATAGCTAAAAATTATTGTTTTTTAATGTATCATTAAATTGGTTAGTAAATTATTAACCTATGTGTTTAAGTTTGATTATTGAATAATTATTGTATGCACATGTTATGCATATACAATATACAAATGAAACTTGAAGTTATAAAAAGCACTGCTTCGCTTTATGCTTTGTGCAATGAAGTATGGACTATTGGGCTTCGCATTGCTCTTAACATTTTGAAATTATTATAGACATATTGGTGCAAGTACTGTAGACATATTGTTCACCATAACATTGCTTGGCGGATCACACCATAACTTTGATTTACCTGTTATTCTATTGGAATGAAGGCCAAGCATGATTCTTGTCAGATATATTGTTTCTATGTTGGCATTCTTGTAATAAATAGATGCTTTATAAAGAGCATTAAAACTGCGGCCAAAAGGCGGGTTGTTTGTGGAGAATTTTTGTGTTTATGTACCTCCTGTGGTTGACACATTGAGTATTGAAAGTTTTATGTATGTTTTGTATTGTATGACCTTAACCTTTGATAACGTAATTTTTTTTCCTCCACAACATCAATGTTAATTTAATATGCATTTTTGAAGGTAAGGAATTTATCAGAATGCTTCAATGAAGTGCCTACAACAAAAACAACAACATCAAGACTTATCCCACTATGTGGGGTTGGCTACATGAATCCTTTTTCTCCATTGTGTCTCGTTAAAAGTCAAATTCTTGTTTAAATCTATTAAAAAAAAGAGATCATTTCTAATATTTTGAAATTATTTTCTCTTTTTATGTGCCTTTTCACTTATTTTCATGTTACTATTTTCTTCTACTAGTTGTTGCGACTGATGATGAAACAATTGCAAAATGCTGTCGTGGTTTTGGAGCTGATGTGGTAATGACTTCTGAAGCTTGCAAGAATGGTACTTTATCTATAGTCTTGTGAATTGATTATGGGAAAGGTGGTAAAATTGTAACAAACTTCGCTATAAATGCAGGAACTGAACGCTGCAATGAAGCTCTAGAAAAACTTGGTAAAGATTATGATGTTGTTGTCAATATACAAGGAGATGAACCTCTTATTGATCCGGAGATAATTGATGGCATTGTGAAGTCCTTGCAGGTGGTGAATTCATTAATTGAACTCATTATTTGATTGCTCTGTCTGCTGTAAAGACCTTGTGGTCTTTGACTTTTACCAATCATGTAATTTAATGACAATTTTCTAAGGAAAATTGATGCATGACATAGTTATGCAACTTGTCATAAACCATACTGTTTGGACACGTCATCAATGAATTGACTTTAATGAAAAACCCATAATGATTTATTTTGATTGCTCTTTGATGCATTTTCTTATTATACTTTCTTTGGATGATGGGAACATCTTTTTAAACAAGGGGTTTCTTGTGCTTTGTAAACATTATTGATGATTAATATAGACAATTGCTAGTGAGCTCGCCTCTTCTCATTTTGATTCTTCCTCTTCTATTAGCTTCCTTTTACCTAGCTGCCCCCCCCCCTCTCTCTCTCTCTCTCTCTCTCCATATAATTTGGTATTTGCACATCAAGTCTTGAATTTTCTTTTCTGGATGACGCCCAACCTTCCACTAATTTTTGATTCTATTGCTTTTTCTTTTTAACTTAAAATTCTCAACTACATGAAAATAATACATAATTAGTCTAAAACCTAAAAATGCTCATATGTTTCCCCAAATATCTAATTATTCATGCATGCAACCCACCATAGTTGAAACACTTCTCCTATTGTTTATGGTCATTCGCCTCATTTTTTATTTTCCTTATTTTTCAGCTTTCTACTTCAATATTTTCTTTTGTGGCATCATCTTCCTTTGCACAAATTGAGTCTTAGCCTCATTTATTATTCCTCTTTTGCCTATTTTGCACTTGCCGTTCCTTTGTACCAAATGAGTCTTTGCCTCTCCTATTACTCCTCTTTTGCCTAGTTTTGCATTTGCTATTTTTGTTAAGGGGTCTTCGCTAGTATAGAAGAGGATAAGGGGATGGAGCAGAGGATAAGGGGATGGAGTTGCATGCTAAGGAGTCTTTACTATCTTGTGCTTCTTCTAGCTGACTTGCTCTTCTAACTATCCAATCCTTCATACCCTTGTCAATATGAAATCCTAGGAGGTAGTTGGCTTGCTAAATTTTTGTTGTCCTTTTGACATTTAGATTTGCCTGAATTGGTGTGGTTGTCGTCCATGAATGATTTTTGTTTAGTAGTTGGCTACGTAGATGAGTAATTCGTGAATGCCTCTATGTGGTCAGACACAAACTTGAACACTAACAGAAAAACTAAATTTGGGCTCGAACCAAGCTTTAACAATTGATAATAAATTAGTTCAAGTATGAACAAGCACCTACCGAGTTTGGCTCATTTCGTTTTTGTAGCTCTATTTAGAAGTGAAAAATAGTGTGTTATTGACAAATTGGAGTTCATCTTACCCTTTAGTTTAATCGTAAAATATGTGTGCTACAGCCTGTGTACTGAGGTAATTGAAGCCCTCAAGCATGGCTTGAACGTGGATGCATACCTGTTGAGTTTATTGGCCTTATAATAAGGAGAGAGATACAACTATGAAGTATACCAAGTGATGGGGACATCGACAAGAGGTTTCAACGTGTTTATTAGAGGCGACACAGGAGATCGATGGCCATGATGGAGAGTCTTTACTTTTGATGCATTTTTTTGTATTAGCATTTTATGTATTAATCATTTTATTTCAGTTTTTCCGTTTTTTCCCTTATGGGTAGTAAGGAGAGAGATACAACTATGAAGTATACCAAGTGATGGGGACATCGACAAGAGGTTTCAACGTGTTTATTAGAGGCGACACAGGAGATCGATGGCCATGATGGAGAGTCTTTACTTTTGATGCATTTTATGTATTAATCATTTTATTTCAGTTTTTCCGTTTTTGCCCTTATTGGGTAGTTGGTCGCTATTGTAGCCCAAGGGGCATTCTAATCTTTTGTTTTATTTGTCATTTTGAGGCCTATATATATATGGCCATCTTTTTATGTATGAGTTGGCTGATGAATGAAAATTTCTTTCCGTTGAGATCTCTTTGTGAGTTCGTGAGATTTCCCAAGATCTCTTTGTGAGTTCTTGAGGAGATAGTATTGTGGATCTCTTTGTGAGTTCTTGTGGAAGTGGTGTTCAAGGTTTGTAGTTTGATAAATTTCTTTTTCCCTCTCCAATCCCTCCTTCCCCTGCTTACCCGAAAATTCCCCTTTTCTTCTCAATTCCCCACCGCCTCACGAGCTCCACCGCCGGCCTCCCTTGGCTGGCCTAGCCACCGGCGGCCCTCCCAGCACCCAAGCCGCCAGCCTCCCCGCCACACCGCTCCCATGACCGCCCCATAGCAGCCTGCCGGCCAACCTGTCTTCATAAATTGAAATTCAATTTCAAAAGCCTCAAATTCTTTCTTAATCTACATCTTGCTCACTTATGAAAGTTGCCTTCTTTATTTTCTTCAATTACCTGTTAAATTCCAACGTATCCATAGGCTCAAACCATTTAGGAAACTTTCCTAGTAGAGCAAATCTGAAAATCAAATTTCAGATTTGATACCACCGTGATTTATTCTCTAGAGGGCCCACTTAATTAATATTAATTGCTCTCTCAGCTCTCCCTAGGGCCGGCCCTCTCCATGCTCTTTTTTCTCTCCCAAATTAACTCCAAATCCCCACTAAATCAGCCCCAAATCCCTCCCCATATGGTCGGCCACCCCTCTATTATTTCTCTCTCCAATTGCCACCTAATCACCACTTAATACCTCATTAATGCCTTTCCCTCTCAGATTTCAATTTCAAATTTCAAAATCTGAATTTGAAATTAAATCTTTCCTTCTTTCTTATTAAAAATCTGAAAATAAACTTCAAATTTATTCCTTCCACAAAATAGCTTCACCCTCTCCCCTCTCCCTCCCAAACCGTGGTCACATCTCCTCCCAAGCCCACGGCCCAACCTCTCCCCTCTCCACCCCTCTTCTCTCTTGGATTTTTCATCTCGTGCTCCCCTCATCTTCATGCTTACAGTGCATGACCGATCCTGAAGTCGACCACGGCTTCGCGTATAACGAGCAAGGGGAGATCAACATCTTTCTTCCCCCTTCTACGAACACGACATCACCGTTGAATGCTACGTCAACCGGATCGTGTATTGCCTTGCCCACACCATTGAGCTTCAACGACCAAGGACCCCGTGGTCCCTCACCGAAAGATACGTGCCACCTCCACCTCCGGCTACCTTCCCAACAACGACGTTCCTCGGCTCGTCCGTCCTAGTGCTTATTCATTTCTAGTGTGGAAGATCTTTCTCCGCTCAACCTATCTTTGTAGGGAAGAGAGTAGATCCTCAAAGGTGAACATCTCATTATTAACTTTTGGATTTGTGTTATAAGCTTTTACATTACTTCACCTTTATATTTGATTGAGAGTGTCTTGGTTAATCTTCACGCAATTCTTTGCCTAAGCAAGTAGAAGACTGAGACTTCTTGTAACCTACTTTGAGTTGACGCATAATTTTATAAAGGTTAAATTTCTATTAAATTCTCTTGATAATCTTGTGTAACTCCAAGCATGTATCACATCACCAAGTTTTTTGGAAACTCATGCCAACTCTAAGAAGTTGATTGTATTCTGCTAACAATGATGCCAATAGAAATTCACGAAGAAAAGATATGTGCTTAAATGATAAATTTAACATTTTGAAGCTATAAAATTTCCTTTTTTTAGAAATAACATTTTAGTATATAAAACTAAAAAAAAATAAAATAAAATTAGTATATAAAACTTTATTTTGTAGTTCTTATTAACTGTTTACCTTTATTGTTAGTAAACTGCTTCTAGTTCCTTGTCCTTTTTACTTGACATTGGCATTTCACTTTTATCCTTTATGCTTGATGATTTTGATACAATGCTTTGCTTGGGCGCCAACATTTAGAAACTTCAGGCTACTTCAAATTTCTTTGCACTTATTACCGTACTTACATTAAACATTTCGTTTTAAAATAAATTTTGGACCACAGGAATCCCCTGATGCTGTGTTTAGCACTGCTGTAACGTCCTTAAAACCTGATGATGGGACTGATCCCAACCGAGTAAAGTGCATTGTGGACAATAATGGTTATGCAATATATTTTTCAAGGGGATTGATACCTTATAACAAGTGAGTCATTGTAAAAATATGCCAATGCCCATTTCTGTGCAGTAACAGCAGGACCTTTTCTATGAATGCATGCATTGCTCTACTTTCTTTCTTTTGTATTTCAGGTCGGGGAAAGTTAATCCGCAATTCCCTTATCTACTTCATCTTGGCATTCAGGTCTGAGTTTATAATGAATTCCTTCTTTTTCATTCAATATTTATATTTTGAGTTCTGCTGCTGTAATACAATTAAGTAATTAACTTCTGCTGTAACTTATAATATTAATATTACACATGTTGAAGTGGCGTGCAGATGCAATCATCCTTATGTGTATAGATAGTACGTAATTAGTTCTGATCTTGATTCTTTTGCATTTGACCAGAGTTTTGATGCCAAGCTTTTAAAAATCTACCCAAAGCTTGCACCTTATGTGTATAGATAGTACGTAATTAGTTCTGATCTTGATTCTTTTGCATTTGACCAGAGTTTTGATGCAAAGTTTTTAAAAATCTACCCAAAGCTTGCACCTACTCCTCTACAGTTAGAAGAAGATCTTGAGCAGCTTAAAGTTCTTGAGAATGGTTACAAGATGAAGGTAATTATGACATATCAAGCGTGATTTCTTTACATAATTTATGCAATCAATGCTATCATTTTAATCTTTTGTTTTTGTTACTGCTGAGCTGCTTCTTTTTCCTTCGGACCCTTTCCAGCTCTTAGGGCCGTGAGTTACTATCTTATAGCATGATGGGATTTTAAAATCTTCATTATGTTCATTTTAATGAAACGCCATATATTGTTTTTGGAGGAATATTCTGATATTTTATCCTAATATGTTCATCTTGACGTTCCTTTTTTTTTTTTTTTAATATCTAGAGGTTCCTTCTCATTACGTTATTTCCACTATGCAATTTACGAATGATAATGAAATCAGTGCAGTTTTGATACATTTGAAGGTATAAACCATGTTTTTGTTATATCAGTTAAATTCAGGATGTCTTACTCATGGCACCACGAGGAAGCCTGAAGGCTGTTTGAAATTAAAGTGATTATATTTATCCCATAGTTCTGATTGTATCCTTTATTTCTCAGAGATCAGTAGCAAGGTTGCTTGTTTTATTGTTCAGAGTTGTAAGTCTTTGAAACGTTCTGTTAGGAATTGGTAAGCACATACGAGGTTTGCTTGTGATGAAAACTATCTAATGTAGGAAGAATAATCTTGATACTAATTTGCATCTCAGTGGAGATTTCGATCTCAGTAATAAGCTCCAGCATGATCTCAAATTTAGCTTAGGCACAATTTCAGGATTAAGATTAGCAGGATGATGGAGTACTAATGAGTGATCTCTATTAATCTTCATAGACCAACTCAATAGAAGGATCAAAATTTTGAATTAATAGAGATGATGTTTAAACTTTTGGAATTGATATGGGTTTTTGAACTAGTGATCTTTAAGAAATTAATGTATGATATATGTATGATCAATCATTATGATAAGCAATTGTTTTGAATTGGATGGCACAAGAATTTCATATGCACAACCATTATATGATATATATTGATAATAATAATTACGAGTTTCATATACCTCGTTAGAATTATGAGACTCGCTGCAATGTGACTCAATGTAGTTATAACATTGATAAGAATAAGAACTTGATCATATGTGTAATCATGAGAGTTACATGGCACATGGTTGTATGATTTCTTAATTGCTTCATGTAGCACCTTCCAGCAATATTTTGACCAATCATCATTTCACAATGATATAGGACATTCATCTGAATGTCTGTGTTGGAGAAATCTTGTCATCTTCAACAAATTGAGATATTTTGTGATCGAGCATGACATAGAAAATAATATATTATCCTGAAGGGCAAAAATATTATTTCTTCATGAACTTAATAACAAAATCATAATTATAATTTTAACATAGATTTTTCCCAATTCAATATTTGATTGAATAGGGTTTATTTTATTATGGGATACAGATACCTCATAGGGGCAAGTCCCTATGGTTAATTACACATTTGTTATTAAGAACACTTTTAATTAAACTAATTATTTTTTTGTGTCATTAAAATATTATCAGATATTTTCATTTTGAAATTTATAAAATTCTTGTTCAAAGATTTGGTCTTTGAGAATTTCAAAGTAGGAATGATCAACTTGAAATCATATTTTTAAGAATGGATGCCAAATGAATGAAATGTAGGAGTACTTGATTCTGAGGTAACTAAGAGGTACTCAAACTATCATATATTGAACTTTATATTTTAATATCAAATTTTTATTTAAATTGATCATTTTAATTTAAAATGTTGGGGCTTATAATATTGGAGGAAATGTCTAGAAGATGAGGGCTTATGAAAGGGCTAAAGTCAACAACAGTCTTGAGATCCTAAAACTAAGGTGAGGACTATTGAGGGGGATAATGCGTCGAACCTAAGTCTAATGGAGTGTACGAGACTCACAAACTACACCTCAAATGAGGCATAGTCAACCTGACTTTTGGATTTACAACTTTTCCTAGAAAGGGTTATCATCTAAACATACCTAGTCGCTTTTAAAACTATGTAGTCCAGTCTCAATGCATATGAAGAGTAGGGAAGACTTTTTCATCTAAAGGATAAGACTTGCAGTTTAGCTTTTAGGTCACGATACCTAAACATGTGGGTATGCAAAATGCTGACTCATAAAAATGTAGATTTTTTTTTGTTCCTTAGGTGAAGGTTTTTCTACTTGTGATATACTGACTATGCATGATCATTTTACATTTTGAAAAAAGTTGGCTCATTAAATGAGCCATGCAAATTTTTGTTTTATTTAAAAAATGGTGATTCCTATGGTTGATTTTAGATTGCTTATATGTTAAGTGGTAGAAAAATTAGTTTTATCCTAAGAGCCTACCGCATAACACAAGTCTAAGACACCTCCAAGCAAAACAAGAGAAAAAACTAATGCTTGTTATTATACAACCTAATAATAATTACAGGCTCTGCTTGTGAGGTCTTCAAGCTTTGACTTTTAAGTGGGTCTTGGGCTTCACCTATGGCAAGTTTATCCTTTTGATCCACCTCTCCTATAACTATATCTCACATGCTTATACATCATAAGTCTATTAAATACATTTTTAAAATATAAAAGACTAAAATCTTCAAAATAAAAGGCGATTAGAGGCAATTTATATTATAAAAAATGCTTATCCTGGCATTTAAAGTGCAAAGCCCTACTTATATCATATTGGTCATGCCTCCTTGGGGGGTTTTAAGTAGCGCATGCAAGTAAACATTATTATATTAATCATGTCTTATTGCACTCCTCTTGGATACACTCCCACCTATAGAAAAGCAAGTATATCTTTATCTTATGCGGTTAAGGGGAGTGGTGCCCATAACATAAATAATATAATAAGCAGTCACACAACAACATAAACTGCATGCACATAAAAAGAAAAATTCTAATCCTAGCATGCCTAGGAGCTGCGCATCTAAGTATGTGTCGACTGTGTGGTATATTACTATGTTACACTACAAGTGGTGCCTTATTTTTTTAAGGAATAAAGATGTTTCTATCAGAGAAACTTAGGTGATTTTTAGTAATTTTGATGTTCTCTTAGTGCTTGAATAAGAGAGAAGTGTTCACCTAATAGGGTAATGTAGACATGCATGCCTGAGGTTTTGACTTAGGACTTTGTGAAATTCATCTAGTATGGTAAGATGAATTTCAACAGATGGATGATTCCTAAATGGACATCTAAAGGTTATGTTTTAAATGTCATAGAAAGAGATGTTAAGTGAAGGGCTACTTAGAGTTCTGGTCTAAGGGATTGGAGAATTCTCCTAAACTTTTGAAGTTAAGAAGAGGGTTATTCTCTTACAACTTTGAGGTTGAAAGAAAAAGAGAGGAAAACTATAGCTTTTAAGCTGAGGTTAGAATCGTCTAAGGCTTTTGGAGCCCATGAAAGTGAGGGAAGACTTGTAAATTTGAGGCCATAAATAAAGAAGCAATCACTAAATTTTGTGTTCAATGATAGAAGTTCAGTTTGCTAAAAATGAATAGAGCAAACATAAGAGAATGATATGTAGATTTGGACTAAAAATCAAGAGAAGTTCTTTAAACTTTTGGGTGTTTAAAGATGGGAACCCATTCACCTAACTTAGATTAGAAGAATGAAGGAGAGATATGATTTATATTCCTATATTTGATGTGGAGTTATTTGCTGATTTTGGTTCAACAAAATAAATGATTTTGTTGTAGGTTTGATTCACCAACATGGGTTAAATGAATGTATGAATTTCCTACAACTTTTGAGTTGTAGAAAAAGAGAAGAAATATGCAACTTATAGGTTATAGATTGGATGGTGAATAATTGAATTTTGTTTACAATGAAACGTGATTATTTATCAAACTTGTGTTATATAAAATAGGGAAGGTGACGTGTAGATTTGGATTACAAGTCACGATGAATTTCTTTAAATTTTTAGGTGTTCAAAGAGGGGAGTTCATTCTTTCAACTTGGATTAGAGGGATGAAAGTAAGATAGGATTTTAATTCCTATGATTTACTAATGTTTTCTCAAACTCTCTAAAAGTCATTTGGAGGCTTTTGTATGAGTTTAGGAAAGCATCAAGCAAGTATGTTGGAGGATTTCCTATGGCTTTTAGGCTGAGGAAAGTTGGAGAACTTCATACAATTTTAGCTTCTAGAAAATGGAGAGAAAAATGCAACTTAGAGGTTACGAATACATGAATGCTCTTTGAACATTTGGTGTTCAAAGAGAGATGCCCATTTGCCTGATTTGAGGCTAGGCAAATGAGAGAGATTAGGACTTTGATCATATGTCTAGAGAGAATGTTCATTTATTGATTGTGTTTCAACAAATGAAAGGAGAGAAGATTGATTCCTACAGCCTTGGAAAGGATTCATATATCAATTTTGTCATGATTAGGAGATTTGGATAGTAGAAGTTCAGTCCTACAACTTCCAAGAGGTTTTAAAAATCAAATTCAGTTGTTATCTAAAGAACCTAGAAGTGTGTTTAGGTGATATGCATTTTTGGAGTTATGATCATTTCACTTCAACCTTTTAATCTGGAAGCTACATAAATAAGGTTAAATAGCTCTAAAACATGAGGGCTCGTGGGCCTTTGAGGCCCATACAACATCTCGAGTTCATCTCAAAATTGAATGACCCTATTTGATTGTCCTCCAAAAATTCAAAGATTGAGGGTGTTTCGAGTAAGTGATGATTGCTATTTGAATGCTCTAAATTTGGTGAACTCAATCATGAATTTGGTTGATTATGCATACTGTGAGGTTTACAACATAGGTCTCTTGGGACCTATGATAAACTTCAAAACAATTTGATATCATATATATTCCTATGGGATCAAACAATTTCATTATAAGTTTTCACCAAATTTTAAGGGCAATCAATTTCAACATATGTGAATTCCCCTAAATACATGTCAATTTTGTCATGATAATGGGGATTGAATAGCTCCACATGCAATTTATACATTTGAAACGTATACATGCATGTAGGAAACACACATCTAAGGCTTACTTAGAGAAAATTCCAATAAATTTTGGAATGATTTGGTGCATTGGAAGCACGAAAGTGAGTTTCCAATTTTAGGAATTTTGTAAGTTAGAGGAGGTGTTTATTTGTTATCTCCATGAGCTTTACAAAACACTTGAAATGGATTTCAATAGCTCTACTAATCCTACAATTTGCAATACAAGCCTTTGGGGATTCGTGTAAAATTCTACTGCGAATATGATAAGTATTTAAACCCAATCAAATGCATTTTGAGTATTCACCAAAGCCATGGAATATTCATAAACTTTGACAAATGCAAGCCAATATATTTGTGTGTCAAATTTGCCATAACACCTAATTTTAGGAGACATAACATAGCATGCAACATTTGGAGGGAATTTACGCCTCAACATTCGACTTGGCATTGAATAAAATCACCTAACCTAGGGTTTGATCATATATGACGGCGTTGGAAGGTAACATGATGCTACTTCATGCATTTGGAGGGGTCGGATACAAATCCAAACACCCTACGCACATCAGTGTCCCCCTCGGGCCCTCACATGAGAGCAAACAAGTGAAAATCATTGGATTTTCACTGTTTTACGTAGAGGACAGCTAACACATAGCTTTTATTTGGATTTTAGAAACTTAAACGCAGGTTTCTAAGGTGCTAAGGTTTGGGAGCGTCAATCACATATCAATGGGCATATAGGCTTAGGTTTTTCTAAGTTTGGAGGGATTTTACCTCGCTGGATCAAGTCATGTCGCAACCGAGATTCTCTCGCCTTGCAAAAAATGCGAGGTGGAAGAACAATGGAGGGAGAACTTGCTATCCAAATCGCTCCGGATTGCTGGTTTTGCTATTTGAATGCTCTCGGAAGTCATCTCCCCTATCAAGGGCTTGTTGGAATTGATGAAGAGATAGAAGCAGCTCATGTTTTCTTTAGGAAGGCTCTAGAAAGCCGAAGGGAAGAGGAACTCTGGCTACAGGTGTCATTTTACTCTTAAGATCGTACAAGAGCAGCAACCTAGCCGCTTGATCAGGCCAGATGGAGCATAGGAAGTTCCCAAATCAGTTGGTTAGGCCTCTATCTGCACACAGGAGCACTAGGAATGCTCGTTTCGATAGTGATCAAACACAGAAGAATCCTGGTCCCTGCCTCAGACGCACGTTTCTCTCGCTCGATCCGATATAGTCACGTGTGGAAGGATCCAAGCGCTCAATCCGACCTGGATGCATGTGCAGGGAGCTCCAGCTCTGATCTTTTCCTTCTTAATTTCCGCACAAACCGGGAGAAGAGGTGCTCAACTCCTCTCGGTCTCTCGGCTTCTCTCGGCCAGACGGACACAAGTGTACGAATAAGGAAGCAGGGGATTATGCACGGCTTGCTACTCCCGTCTTCTTTTTTTGCCTGGGACGGACCACACACAAATAAAAAAAGAACTGGCTGAATAGGCGTCTCCCGCTTCTCCTATACACGAAAATGGCTCTTGTCGTTGAATCCCACTAAAGCTGCCCAAATCTGCCCCGAAATGGAAAAATCACGCGACTGAACCATGCGACAGCTGCAGAATTTTAATTTTAGCAAAATCGGAGCCAATGATTTGATTTCCTTATTTGTGAATATATTTGAATTTGATCGGAAAGTCAATTGGATTCTAATTGGACTTTGGTTCAATTAATTGGGCTAAAATTGAGCCTGAATTGGACTCGATTTGGATCGATTTGAGTCAAATCGAGTCCGATTAGATCCAATCAAGTCAGTTTTTTGAAATTGAACTTGAATCGACGTCGAATTTGGTTCGACGGGATTTGATTTAGCTGATCGGGTTCGATCGAACCCAATCGGGTCCGATTCAACTCGACTGGGGTCGAGTCGACACAAAAATGCATCAACTCTTTTCTTGTCTTATTTGGACTCGCCATATTTTGTCTTGTCAGCACCCATGGTACTAGGATTATTCACGGAATCAATATGTAATATCAAATTATGCTTTATTATTATCCTTTCAAAAAATACTTCATGAAAGGTTTTTTTTTATGATTTATTCTAAGCACACTTATATTACTTTATTTTGCCATTTATTCATTTGTAAAATCTTCTTTATAAATAGAAAATGCATGTAAGAGATTATTAATGAATCATCAATGTATTTTTGCTAGGAATTGTCTCTCTCCTCAAGTTAGCCGGCCACTCACTTTCTCTCTTTTCTCTAGACCTGTTAGTATTGGACCCGACCCGAAAATTTTGGGTTTGGGTTGACCCGAACACGAAACGGGTCGGGTTCGGGTCCGGAAAATTGACCCGTTTGGAAAATCGGGTCGGGCTCGAGTTGACCAAAAACCTGAAATAGACCCGAACTGACCCGGAATAACACATAAAACCACTGCCCGGCTGCCCCGCGTGAGGTTCCGCGTCGGCGCGTCACGTTCGACCCGACCCGTGACCCGAAATTGACACCCCTACTTTTCTCTCTCACTCTGAATTTAATACATGAATTGCTTTAGTTGAATTTTATTTATGAAACTGAACCTTTTTAAGTAATCAACCTTGCTTTTCTTTCTCATTTACTGAAGGCTAAATCATTACAAGGTCTTTTAAGCCAATTCATCAGTATTTCTCATGCCATGATGAAAGTGAACTATGTGGTTGTGTTTTAGAAGTCTTAGAGGGTTGACTCAATATTCTAGGAGCTGATCCTATGTATTTAACTATATACGCAAATGCTTATATATTAATGCTGTGCTACGGGCATATATTTTCCAGCTTTTTATTGCCATTGTACATATAGTTTGTCGTGCCACATGTATTCGATACGTATCCGTGCCGTATCAGAGGCGTATCCGTATCCGACGCGTGTTCGATACAGCATGCCCATAAATAGGAGTATCGGTGCTACATAGATGTAGATGCTTGAAGGTTCAATAGATTCCTACCCATATCTAGTCGCATACCTTTATTAGTTAGATACTAAAATCTTTGTTTTGTTTGTCTGATAGTTTTCTTAGGCTTGAAATGAGGCTATAAAAGCTCCAGATGTATTTTATGGAGTTTTATAAATTTCCATCATGAATTTGAATGGTTTTGGTAAAAACCCTAAAGATAAAGTTTTATTATTTGTTGGAATGATTCCTAGAATACTAGGTGTGATTTTCCAAGAGACATTTTTCTCAATTGATTTACCCCTAAATAATCTTTCATCATATTATGATTGTATTTTCAGCAGTATAAGTCCCCTCAATTATGCTCTTGCATTGATCTTCATTATCGGTTTTCATTCCACTTCATTTCCCATTAAATCCTATGTTTTCTTCATCATAGATTAGGCTTGTCTATCCGCTATTACTCATTGGATCAAATATTGTTCCAGATATTCTAATATATATATATATATATGAAGAGAGATAAATAGGGAGGGAGATAATTAATATAATAATAAATTTATTTCAGGTGCTCATAAAATAATAAATATATTTAATACCTTAAACTTAATTGATGAAAAAATAGTCAGTTAGTTTAAAATTGAGAAAATTAATTCTTTTTTAAAAAATAAAAGTTTAGTGTTATAAAAAAATCATAGGAAATAAAGGCGAAAAAGGAAAATAAAATTATTTAAGTAATATATATTTGAAATAAAAGAGAAGAAATGACTTCACTTGAGCTATTTATGTAACATGCTTTTAAAGTCAAAATTTATTATTTAAGACATGTCTGTAAGGCTGTAAGGCACATGTGTCTGATAATTTTTTATATTTTTTTAAATTGGAGTTGTATATGGCATGTCAAGCACATGTGACAACTGCATTTGTTCAACAAGCTAGGCTTCATTATTAAGCGAAACAAAAGAATTAATAATTATGTAATTTACAAATAGGAACGTTATATATGTCAAACTAGCATTCCTCTTTCCCAAATCTTGGATTAATCCCCTGAAAACTCTGGTAATTAAATTCATCACGTCAGTTTCTTCTTTCCCTATTGATTTCATGTGTTTATCCAAATCTAAAGAAATCTCAACTAAAACTCAAATATTTGAATCTCCCTCTAATATTCTACTAATCAATCTCATCAAACCATAAAATTGGGCGTACATTGATTCTTCAGTATTACCAACAAAGCCAATCTCTCTCTCTCTCTCTCTCTCTCTCTCTCTCTCTCTCTCTCTAACACCTGCCCCCCCAAATGAAAAAAAATAGAAACATCAAAGAGAGAACATTTCTCATTCTATCCCAAATGATAAGCTCCATCACATCTTTACCTTGCATATACGCTCATGTAATCATGTACAAGAACGTGTGTGGGATAGCTTGTCCAGTTCATAAGGATATTGTTGCGAAGGTTCGATCCTCAGCTACATAATAATAAATCCCATTCAGCGAACTTTGTGGTTGAAAAAAAAAAATTATGCACGCGAGGATGCTTTCAAATATGTATCTTGTTTAATTTTCGTTTGATGTAGGATGAGCAAAGTATATGGTTCTATACTGCAGGTTATCAAGGTTGACCATGATGCTCATGGAGTAGACATTCCTGAAGATGTTGAAAAGATAGAAGCACTTATGCGAGAGAGGAATATATCATAGCGAAGGGTACTGAAAGCATGGCGCATTTGAAGGTTTTATGTATATATATCAACCAAAAGTGTTTTTTCGTATTTTTGTTTGAGGTAATCTGTTCTAAAAATGAGAATTTGACTCTTAATAGGACCGAATGAAGAAAAATGTTTCATATAGCCGATCCAGCATAGTGAGATAAAAGGCTTGATTTTGTTGTTGTTGTTGTAATCTATTCCAAAGACGCAGGAGCCTTTTGCATGGTTATTAATCAGTAATAACAGAATGATTACCAGCTGGATCGTATTCTCTGCAAGACTCCAGTCAATCATTGTAAGTTTAGGCAAAGTTCAATCTTAAATTTCCTTTTAGAGATTGATTCATGATTTTTGGGTCTTAAAATACATTAATGAATCATTTTTTTTTTCTGATTTTCTATCAATTTTTCTGGGATGGAGCTTTGTTGCATGTATTTTTCTATTGCAGGTGCAAAAGCATGTAAAAAAAAAAAAAGAAAAGAAAAAGAAAAAAAAGGCTATAAGCATATTCTTTTCATTTTTCAATGTAGTTTGATTGTTAGGCTCAACAATTCTAAGAATTTCTAAGTATTTTAGATTGATTTTTAAACATGTTGATATTTTACAAACTTGAGTTCAAAATCGAATGATTTTATCACTAACACCATACAGGAGGTACAGATTTTTTTCTTTTTCTTCCCATTTTTATTCTGAACTTCTCTTTTATTAGATAGTTTTTTTCAATGAACGTGGTTAATCACTATCATCATCATTATTGATAGCAACATCACTGGCATTGCCACTATTATGTTGTCCACTATTATGTTGTTAGTGACAATAAATATTTTCTTTGCGGTTTTGCATGTTGGTTCATGAGATGTACATTTAATTCATATGATGCCTTTAAAGTGTATAGTTTTTTAAAATATTGGATTCAAAGTTGGGTCAGTGGGATATGCTTGAATGTTACTTGAGAGGACATGCATCATAATTATGTGAGATTGGTGTGATTGACCTGAATTTGGATTTGATTCACTCGAAGAGCTATCATGATAAGGAGAAATTATTCTGTGTGGAGGCTGGATGTAAATCGTCGTCTGAAGACCAATCAGAATGCGTAGTGTCAGCGGTATCGAGCCGCAGTACTGAGCGAAGGGATGATGTGGCGCATTCTCGTTGGTCTTCGGACGGCATTCGGCGTCCGCACAGAATAATTAATCCATGGCAAGAACCCGATTGAGGCAATTGTGTGTGTGTTATTGAATGACTTTCTATAGTTGGTATATAGTGAAGCCTTCAGATTGGATGCTTTGATTGAGTACCTATGTGTAATACTAAATTATGTGCTATCGAAGGCTTGTGGATTTAATGTAATTCAAGTTGGTTTACCCTTCATTCAATTTCCTTAAGCCATAGAGTTGGATGGTTGACTTGATTTCTTTTATTCTCTTCTTATAATTTCAACTCTTTTTGCCTAATTTTTGACTACTTTTGTTGCTCCTATTTCAGATGAAATTATTAGCAAATTTCAACTCTTTTTGACTAATTTTAATTCTATCAGATTCCTTGTGTAATTTACATATGATTTCCTATATTATTTGATGTATTTTTTGATTAAATTTACATTTATTATTATTATTATTATTTTAAAGATTAGCTATTTTCCTTAAACATGTAGAAAATAACATGATCTATCATGAAGTGCATGACTAGAGCTAGGCAGGTTGCGAACAGCTAAAGAATAACTAATTACAAAAAATTAATATTTTCATTTAACAATTATCATAAACAAACTAATCATCCAATAACAACGTAGGAAAGAGCAACTAAACTTTCAATTCAAATATCTGATTATATCAAAATATAAAATATCTCAAAACATAAAATGAAAATATTACAATAGTCCATGATATATCTTTTAACATAATACATAACATAACAATAAAAATATGTTTTCTTGAAATGTTCTACGCTGGTATGTAGTAGGTCTATCAACTATTAATCCTTAACAGGTTCTTTTGAAAATCATTCTTATAAATAGAGACGAGCTAAAGTTCATTAGGTAACAAATATTTATCATAAATTCATGAAGTAAGAAAATGAAGACATTAAGCATGCAACTTTCATTTGGTAGTGCTTAAATTTTAATTCAGAAGAATTATAAATAAAATAAAATAAAATTCATGCTTTGACATTTGGATATGCATATTTTGTATAACATTCTACATGTTCAGTTTTCTTTAAACTTTTCATAACTTTTCCATTTTTCATAATTTACGTTTATATTCTTTTAGGCATATAAGCATAAAATACTTAATCATAGATTTATACATCCGTTTCGAAATTACCAGTATTTTATACTGATCAGGTACACAATCAAATTTGGCCAAACATTTCATTTCATTTACTCCAAAGTGTCCTTTACCAATTGCTCCGAGGGGCTCATTATCATTTTGCTCCGAAGAACCCTTGACCATTTGAAACTCCGGTTCATCATGCACATTCAATCATAATACTTATCATAGAAATCAAATCATTCATGAATTCATATATACTTGTCTAAATTTATTTCAGGCTCATTCTCATGTCTACATAAACTTTATTTAAAAGACATGTCACCTTATTTAACCTTACATTAATAGTCACATGGTTACAGGTTTAACATTACTATAACAATAGACATAAATATAAATTTAACATTTCATGAATAATAACCTGAATAAAATTCTAACATGTGATGGTTGAATGAATAAGAAAATTCAATAATTAAATATATGCATTATTTCATATTAATAAAAGTTTAGGAACATGAATTTAATCTAAATATAAGTACATACCTTAAGAAAATACCAGACGTGCGAGGATATTAGTTCATTTCCTTGACGTTTTTTCTCTTCTACTTTCACCTCTTCCACTTCCAAAATCTATGAAAACCCAATATAAACTAAATTCCTTTTCAATAAAAGATTTTAATTTCCCTAGTAATCACCTTAACATTTTATGATCACTAGTTTAAAATTTTGGATTTGTTATTAACCCTAATTTTTGGAAGTCATAAATTCCTTAATTTCATCTAATAACCATGCCAAACTTTTCATTAAACCTCATTAATATTTGGGGTAATTTATTTTCAAATTAATTTAAATTAAAAATTATGAAAATTTTCATAATTTTTTTACGAAAAATCTTAATTTCCACCATTAAAAATCCTCATAATGTCATTTGAAACAATAATTATGATGGGGTTTTCTTAAAATTCTAAAAGTGTGAAAAACCCTAATTTTCCAAATTCACTAAAATTTGGATAAACTTAAAATTTCATGATTAAAATCCTTTCCTAAACATCCCCTAACAAATTTCTAAAGAAATTTTAAGTTTTGGAGAAATCCTAGAAACTTCTCCTAAAAAAAGTTTACAAAAATTTAAAAAATCTCTTAATTACAACATACCTTAACCTTTCTTTAGTCTCCTCTACACATTCCCTCAAAGAGAGCCGCTGGGAACCGCCACCTATGCCGCCCTAGCGAGCTTGCCCGTCGCCCTTATCGGCCTTCTTGAGTACAAACAAATGAAATAGGCGTGTGAATGAAAGGGACCGAACTGAATATATTCGGTCCCTTAAGGCTTTGGGAGGATTTTGGATGTATTTGATTCAAAGTTTGTGCACACCATCCTATAAGTCCCTTATATTGTTTCGATCGAAATTTAATATACTATTTCATAAAATTATTTTTGTCCAACTTTAAAAATTGGCTTAAATTTTATTACGGTGCATCAAAATACATGCAACGCTTACTATTGACGTTTTTCAAAGTTTACACTAGAGAATCACAGTTATATAAGAAAATAGCAGCTGGACTGCTGGAGAAGTTGAACATGTACATAAAATGATATGGAACAAATATATCCTCTCAAAATAAATAATCTCAAGAGAATTTAAATTCAAGATGAGACACTTCCATGCATTTAAAATTTCAAACATAATTCTCTCTCAAAATAAAACTTAAATGCTACAAAATTTTATTTTTAAATTAAACCTTAACAATCTTGATGAGAAGATAAAGCTTGATGGCTCTCTCATAGATGTGAACTTTGGTGAATTACCCATAAAATAATATTTGCATTGAATAAAAATACAGTTTTCTTTCCATTGTTCCATCTTCTTTATCAAAACTTCATTGTTTGTCTCCGAGATATACTCAACTCCATAAATGTCAAGGCTTGGTTTTTATTATTTCAAAATATGACAAAGATCTACTCCTTCCATTTCTCATCATAAAAAGTTTATGATGCTTTACTTTTTCTTATTTAAGCAAATAGATTAAAGGGTTATTTGGTTGGGAAGATTTTGGATGTATTCTCTAAATTTTTTGGCATTTAATTAGCTAAAACTAAATTCAAAATAAAATTATGAGGAATTTGAAATTCAAACCTTAATTCAATTTTGGTGCATTTACAAATTGCATAATTTCAAGCGATTTTCAAATACACTACATCACCTTCCCCACCCCTAACCGCTCACTACCTATTGTCTGCCATTGCTCAACCCCTACCACTAACCTCCTTATCACTGGCCACTGTCAGCACCACTACCCGCCACTTACCACGTACGACACCGCCATTGCCACCAACATTGATTTCATTTTGATTGTAAAAAAAAAAAGAAAAATATTAAAATCATGAATTTATTTTACAAGCAATCAAACATTGAAGGATATTTCAAATACCAAAATTTTATTTTATAGTTGTAATTTGAATGCTTTTGATTTTTAAATACTTACAACAAAATAGCTCCTAAATATTTTTCTTTTCCAGTATCATGAAAATAATACAAGTGCATAATAATCTAAACATTTCAAAGGACAAATCATACCCAAAAGGTTCAGCATTCTCAAAAATCAATAAGCAAAAATCCTATCAAAACGGGATATGGGTTAGCATACACAGCAAGATTCCTGGTTATAAGCTGAAAAACTAAAAATTGTTTCTTACTTTATTTTTGGCCAACATTAAATTTTGCAATGAAGAAGCCAATAGTATCCAAAGTTGCGGATGGATCAAATCTCTGAACTAGCTCTGCTTCACTCTGTGTAAGCCATGTCCTATAAGAACAAAACATAATTCAACAATGATGAAGGATAGTTAAATCTTTTAAAAAATTTAAATAGCCAATTGAAATAAAAATTACTCAAGATAGGAGTTGAAGGAAAAACAAATTAACATCACTAAGTTAAAGAACAAAACATAACAGCAATTTGCATTTCACTAAGGGCGTTGTTTAATTGCCTGAAAAATGAATGCAATGTAAAAATAATGTGGTGTAAAATGAATACTTTGGAGTTGTTTGAATGACTGTAAAAAGAAATGTATGACTTAATACTTTTTTTTGTTTGGTTTGAAGTAAAGTGAATGTAATGCAAAAGTATAAAAAAGTTATTCCTGGGGTATTTGGCATTGGCCAACATTGGAGGGCGTCGATGACGAAGGTGATGGGGGCGACCGGTAGTGGTAGCAACTAGAGGTTGACGGCGGTGGGTGGCGGTGGTGGTGGAGGACGGTTGTTGCAATCGATGCTGTGCTGGGGGCGGCGGGTGGGGTGGTGGTGGTCGGTTGACGGCCGATGGTGGGCAGTGGCGGCGGGTGGGTAGCGGTGGTGGTTGGCGTTCGACGGCCGATGTTGGGCAGTGGCGGGCGGTGGCCGATATCGGTGATGGTTGTCAGCGGTGGTCGGTAGTGGACAATCTTAGTAAATGACCCACAACATGCATTCCTGTAGAGTTTGAGTGATGCACTTTATCCATGTAAATTAATTTGATTAAGTGTGCAGTTATTTGGAAAAGTTATCATAACTTGTTTCAACTTTCTAAATTTGGAGAGACATCAAGAGTGATTCCAATCAATCTACTCGTCATGGGATTTGAAACATAAACATTAATGTTCATGAAAGACCTCACTACCTGCTCGTAAACTTTGTAAATGAATTGAAATAAATTCTTGAATATTTAGTGGATTTGGAGAAAAATCACAAATATTAAGCAATGCAAGCCTCCTACATCTTTCAGTTAATTTTTTTTATAACTTGTGATTTGTTAAGTGATGCATGCTATATAATGTGAAACATACACGTCATCACTCAAGTTGTGATCAAATGACAACGCCTAGCCTAAGGTTTGATCATAGGTGAAGGTTTTAATTTACTCAACAGGAACCTAAAGAACCTCTTGATGTTAATAATGATATTAATGAGTTGTTTGAAGTATTGTTAATGTCAAATACCTAACATGTTCTTTTCCATCAGATGTTTTGGTTTATTAAGATATGTATTCAACATTAATACTTATATTGAATGAAAGTAGATGTTATTTTGAAAAAGCACATATTAAGAGTAGGTATGTTTTGGTTGATCTCATGATGGCATAGTGTAATAAATATTTTAGGAAATATTATTATAAATAGAGGTAATATGTAAATTTTGCGGATGCAAATTTTATAAATGGAAGAGATTGTACAGACCCAAACTTTTTTTTATAAAATTAAGCAAATTTTGATTACAAAATTTTTGTAAGATGGGATGATGGTAAAATCCCAATTTCTTTTTTAAAGAAACCGCACTAGACAATTAAGTGAACCGACCATTACTTGGCTCTGCAATTAAATAGTGGTAGAGAGTGAGCAACAGAGAGAGAGAGAGAGAGAGAGAGGAGAAGGAAAGAGTGAACAAGAATAAATGAAGCAAGCAAGTGAAAGAGAACATGAAAGAAAAAGAGACATGAAAGAAAAAGAGAAAAAGAAAGGGAGAACGGAGGTGAGCGAAGACAAGCGGTTTGAGTGGGTGAGAGACAGGTTTTTTCTTGCATGAAGCTGAGCTCGAGAAAGGTGAGGGCTTTCTTTACCTAAAATTTGAATACAGGATTCAATGCATAAAGATGATTTATAAAGTGGAATAAAATTAAATATTAATTAAGCTAATTAATGAGATAAAATTACAATAAATGTCTTATATGTGTTTATGTGCGATGATATATGTCCAAATTATGAAGACAGAATAAAGATTAAAGTGAAAAACAAAATCTTTTGTAATTAAGTTAAGTGCTCATATTCTAATTTATGGTAATAATATTACTTCTTAAAAATCAAATGCATCAACTATTATCAATAGTAGTTCAATCAAATCTTACTGTAAATTCATTCATAATTTATCTTAACTACTGAATGTATTGGTCATGTTGAAATGAATGTTAGATTTTTTCAATATGTTTTAAGTTAATTATTTTATGCATAATTTATTATAAAATGAATTTTAATGGCATGAAAAATTTAAATAAAAAGAACTATATAGAAGAGCCTGTATGTGAATGCTGACTGATAAATTTTAGTTTTTTATGATACTAGCTTGGGATAAAATGATAAATTTTTAAAAATGAAAATGGAAATACCTTAAATGGTATAATATAGACAGTGCTCTCGTGATAGATGTATTATAAAAAAATAGACAACTATGATATGATATGATTATAAATAAATGAATTATACATTTTTACATTATCATCTTTGGATGAAATAAATCTCCAGAAGATTTATTTATTATGAAAAACATACATATTGATTTCTAAATTCCATTATGTTATTGCAATATAGAGATAATAAACATCTTCTGAGTTATGACAGCTCATCATTGTTGTAAAATGTAGACTAAATTGTATCAATTTTATAGCACAATTAAACATGAGGGACTATTTTGAATAAAGTTTGTTCAGTTGAGGGAACAAATTGGAGCAACATGAATAAATTGGCCACACATGAATGGTCTGAAGACTATTTTGAGATTTTTCTATTTTGAAAATGATAACATTCGTCTTTCTCTTCAGTGTTTAACCCTGTTTCAATTGTCTAGATTCAACACAAATGAATAGAGAACTAAGAAAATGATCAAATGAATATATAGTGAGGTCCTTGCTTTTAGGATAATCGTGACCTTGGCATCCCATTTCATATGAAGGCTCCTAAAATCTTGCTTACTTACTCCTGGTTGCAATATCTTTTTAGAGATTGAAAACCAATGGGGATCTCAGTGAACCCAATAAACATATCCGAGTGGAATCTTCAGTTTTCTGTGTAATATTTCATATTCATGAACAAATATGCTTATTTAGACAGCATGACTATCCTATATTTCCTTGCAGATTTTAAGCATTGATACCCTTAGCCAACCGTCCCACTTTGGTGCACAACAGCTAAATGTGAGAAACTTTGCATGTAATTGAGTGAGATCTTAGTAGAGGACAGTTCACTGAAGGGCTTATCAATTTAAACCACTTAGATAACTTTGGTCAAACGTTTGTATCACATTTTTTACCAAGCTTCACATTTATAATGTCAAGTGAGTGTAGAAGTGTTGGCATTTTGATCTTCTAGAAGTTAAATAAGATGTTGGTACATATTATGGATTGGGTGATGGATGATCCTTCCGTAGTGCTAGGCTTTTAAATGTATTATGTATGGATCTACTATTGAGAAGGTGAAGCCTCTATATAAAAGAGGCCAAGCTCTGATACTACCAGAATGCTATGACAATCAGGAGAGGGATGAATTGTTATTTTAATATTATTGACTAGCTTAAAAACTTTGCATGTGTGAAAATGTGAGCACCAAGGAATGAAATTTAAAACAAATAAATAATAAAAATGAATGTGAATGATAAGAGCGATAAGCAAATTGTAAAAATAAAAATAAGAGAATAATGCAAATTGATATATAATGGTTCAAGTGCAATCGGCCATGTCCACTTTCTAAGATCTCATGCTAGAGAAGAGAATTCCATGAATTCCCTCCTTTGCATGCTTGCATGTAGAGAAACGTCCCAGACCATCACAATCCTTTTCCACGGGTGGAGAAACCAAAATACTCCCCTTTAAAGATAGAAGCTACCATTCCAAGAACAAGCCACTAAGTCATGTTGAAATTATGTAATGAAACGGATAAGATCAAATCTCAAATATACAACAACACTCTTAAAATATTTACTAAGCAACTTCTATGACTTGAATTGAAAGTGGAAGAATGTTGTCTTGAGTATAAGAGAAATTGCAAGAAAAAGCATAGAATCATACGTTAAAATTCCCAAAACATTGAGGACTATAGGAGTTGTGGTAATAGAACAAGTGCCAAAATACCTCATACCTAGTACTTCAAATTTACAAAAACTCGAGCTAGTCATTTAACAGAAAATTGCATGCAAATTTTTGATTTACTTGGTGATCATATAAGCAAGGCGCCTAATATGGCTAAGTCAAATATTTTATGGCAATAAATTTTAGAGATCAATCTCAAAACAGGTAGCTGATCATTTGTATGATTGCATCATTCACAAGCTTTAAAATCTTGCGGTGAACAAAAGTTGATACGAATCTCCACTAATCTGTCCTGAACCTGTATCTCTAGCTCTATTGATCTTGAGTTCAACGTGTACTCAATGTATTCATTATTAACACAAATTAAGTTAAATTTGTTATCATAAAAAAATAAGAGAAGCTTTTAGGCTTAAGGGTTTTAACATTCCAAGCGCTTTTAGTATGCATTCCATCTGGCCAAAAGAGCAAACATGTTGAAACCCAAAAATCTATTTTGGAAAGTTAAATAAAATCTGAAATGTGTTTTCTAAATTTTCAAAACAGCTCAACGTGTTTTTAAAAACAAAAAACAAAACTTACCAGGCATGTTTATTATATTTTTAACCTGTTTCAAAAAAAAAAAACAAAAAGTAGAAGTAATACCAAACAGGCCACAAGCAATCGTAATTTTCAAGCAACCTTTCCCCTATATGTCCAGAAAGAGTCTACGTCTACAATGGATATTATAGTTCTTACAATCTAATGAAAAAAACATAATCATAAACATAAATATTGATAGCAGAATCTGGATAAGCTGAAGAGTGGGATCAAGCATAACATACTGCATATACACACACACACACACCTGGGCGCTTGTGCAATCTAATCCAAAAAGTATAAACATAAAATTGCAAGCACATGCGCCCCAGGAATCAAAATAAAAAATAAAAAACAAATAAATTAATAAATGGGTAAATAAATCAAGGAACTTACTCCGCATGTTTTCCACCGAAAAGTTCACACTTGCCTACAAGCCCCGGTCCGCCAACTTTTGGATTCTGAAACATTATACAAGATAAATTAAAGAGGAATTGATGCATTCATGATTTTTGTATTTTTGTTATCAAATATAGAACATTAGTTTTTCATTTAGTTTTATATTTTTTTAGCTATCCAATGATGAAAGGCATCCAATGATCATGGTAAGTTGTGCTTGGGCTTGGTGGACCTTGGTTTGCTAGCTTGTTTGGGTCCCTTGGGCTGCTGCTGATTCTCGGGTTGGGCTAATGGTTCTCGGTTTTGAGCTGGTGTTAATGTTGGGAGGTGGTGGTTGCAGTTTGGACGTTTGGACCTTCTTGCTGGGGTGGACCATCGGTTTGCTAGCCCTAAGCACATACTTTACTTTACCTATATTTCGATGCATGTGAGGAAACCGTTCTATCGGTTGTTCTGAGGATAGCGTTATTTTTTTTTTTAACCAGCAAGGCCCAAAAATAGCTAATTTCGAACAAAGAATATCGAATTTAACATTCAGTCATAAAACCAAGAAAATTGAGACTGATGTGATTCACTTAGCAAATAAAGATGATATCAACAGATTTTGAGATGTCAATTACACCTCTAGAGGGCTGACTTCTCAGCTAACGAAAAAACTGCTGGCAGTTTTAATGAAAATGATGTGAATAGAAATCATTAACAAATCATATGAGGGCCTGAGGCACTTAACTTCTCAACATTTTAATCACCTCAAGCACACCCAAGGCTAATAAAATGTTCGGATTAGATCCAATTTGACTCATTGATGCATAACGTTTAGGGTTTTGTATTAAGATGTATACACAAGTTTAAAATCTCAACCCACAGACTCCGTCAAAACTCGTTTCTTTAAATGAAATCAGAAAACATAAGAAAATCATTCTAAACAATGATTTAATGTCCAACCACTAGTTTTAGAGAGAATAGAATAATAACGAGAAAAAGTGACAAAAAAATAAGCCAGGCCACAATTAGTGTAATGAAATAAGTTCCCTCGGAAATTTATATCAGCCACTTCCACCAGACGAAAACAATCCACATCCAACAAGCACTCAAGCAGGAGGAAGAAATTTATATCAGACACCTATCTCTACAGATGTCGCTCGACTAAGTAAAGATGCACCCTCTTACTTCGTTATTTAAGAGAGCAAAAGAAAAAGATGGGATGGAACTTGGAAGGGAATCATGAGAATAAAAAGAAAAGGAGAGTTAGAGAGTAGAAGAAAGTGAAAGGAAGTGTGCGACAGAGAAAGCACATGTGAGCAACTAATCTGATGCAAGAGAGCACGTAAGCACAGGCGCAACTGAGGTAGAGTAGGTGTCGGGTGGTGCCGACCGAGATGGATGGAGAAATCAAAACTAACTATCATGGATGCATTGCATATGTAAGTAAGATGTCAAATTTCAATGCTATAGAGCCCCAGTTCTCCACACCTCTCATTTTTCTCCTTGGCTCGCAACCTCTACCTAATCTCTTCTCCCTCGTGCGACACCGCTGCAAGACCAGTACTCCCTACTTACTACAATAACCAAACCTACCTCCCATTCATATGACAACACCAAGACCCATACCCGCCGACTACTTCAAACCTTGAACTCTATTCTACATGCCTCAACAAACTATTCTTCCTTAACAACCTGCAATTCATCAAACTCTTATTCTCTACCTTCCCTGTTCGATACCTCTCTCTACTGGCAACTCATCCGCTCCTTTAATTGACCAGTATAACGGTTGTCATGATCCCTCCATATTTCCCCTATATATCGAGGTTGGGAAACCCACCTTCCTTCCCTTCACCTCGCATGAACCAATCCCCATGGTTTGGCCCGTCCCCCTCCTTTTGACGTTCACTCCCCTTGCCCAAAAGACCTCCCATAGTGGTTAGCCACCCCACCACCTTCACCATGAAACTCCCTTCCTGCTATCCCCCCATTCGATAACCCTATTTTGCCCCTTATCGGAGCCCTAAGAGGTGGCTTTTGACCCTCTCCTTCCTTGATGACCCATTCCCCTTGCCCAAAATGCCTCTCATAGTGGTCGGCCACCCTATCGCCTCCACCAAAAGATTTCTCTTTGTTGTCCCTTCATCCAAAAAACTTGATCCACCCCTTATCGGAGCCCAAGGAGGTGGCTCATGATGAAAGAAACTCCCCTCGTCACTCCTCTTATCCGATTTCCTTTCCCTTCGATTCGAACAAGGGAATCTCAACCAAATCTTGGTTAGGGTTAGCCATCGAAAACACTAGTGACGTTTTTGTTTGCATCTCCAAAAGCCTTCTTAACGTCTCCACCATTCTAAATCGGTTTTCCATACGGTTTTCCATATATGAAAATCTTTCTTTTATGGTAGAGAACTTCGCCACATCGGTTTTGAATTGCTCCATCTCGCCTTTCAGCGCCTCCATCTTCTTTGCTGCCATTAATTAGATCTAGGCTCCAATTGCAAAAACACCGAAGATATCTTATTTTTCCGCCCAAGAAAGCGCTCTGATACCAATTTGTTAGGAAACACTTGTAGTCTCAAGCAATTCATATCAATCTTTGAAAAACAAGGAGAATTCTCCACAAAAAATCCACACAAAACTAGGAAAACAGTAAATAATTTGTATTATTTGATGAAATGGAAATAGAAAATATCAAGAAACAATTGATCCTTTATTTGAAAGGATGATCTATCTCTCCCAAATCTCTAGACGCCGCTAGAGCCCAAAATCCTAAACCAAAGATATATCAAAATTCATCCCAAATTCACGATAAAAAACTAAACCCTAGGGTAAACAATTTATTTAAAGCATACAAAACATAACAAATCCCAAAACATCCCTTCCCTAATTCCCTCCCAAATCAGCCCCAAATCTGCCATCTTCAATTAGGAAACATCTACTAATTAATCTCCTCCAATTCAGCCCCCAAATCAGCCCTCTTCAATTAGTTAACATTTCTTAATTAATCTCCTACAAATCAGCCCCCAAATATGCTCTATTCAATTATGAAACATCTCCTAATTAATCTCCTCCAAATCAGCCCCCTTTCTTTATAAATTTTTCTCTCATATTTGAATTCAAATAGGAGTTCTTTTCTTAATTAATTCCCTCCTTAATTCCCCTCCCATCATAATAAATTATTGCTTTGTTGGGTCCTATAAGGGGGCATGAAATCTACCTGAATTTTGTTCCAGGTTTCGCCCCTCCATTGCTTGCTGGGCTGGCCTATCCAACCTCCCTTGGTCTGCAGCCGTAATAAATACCAAATTTGATAGGAAAGACTTGTAGATCTCAAGTATTTCCTATCAATCTTTGAAAAACGACGAGAATTCTACACAAAATCATGAAACAATAGATAATTTGTATTATTTGATGAAATGGAAGCATAAAATCATGGTTTAAAATTGCGCAATACGAGGCTCGCCGTTTAAAATTGCTCAATATGAGGCTCGCCTTGAGGCCCGTCTTGCGCAATTCCAGTAAAAAACGCCTCGATGCTTACGCCTCGAGCTTTTTTTATGAGGCTTGCGCCTCAACTTGGTTGAGGCTCGCCTCGCCTCACTGGCATGAGGCTTACGCCTCACGGGCATGAGGCTTACGCCTCATGCTATATATATTAAAACTTACATAAATCTTGAAGTAAATGCCCGACATTCGAATCTATAGAAGAGGAGGAAGGGGAGAGAGCAGTTCACCATAATGATGATTCAATGAAGAACCCCTTAGTGATGACAGTTCTGATGACTTATGAGTTTTTATGTGATATGTCATTGCTATTTATTTTTGAAATTTGGAATTAGATGTTAATGAAAAGAATACTGGGATTTGGGAAAGATAGAATTTTGAGTTGAACTATATTTCATGTTGTCTTATTATTGAGATATTTTGATTTCACTTCATATCTTATGCTTTTTTATGTTTTATATTATTCACTCATTAGTATATAAAAAATTTGATCATTTTATGTTTACGCAATTTTTTGATTTTGAGACTTACGCCTCAAAACGCCTTGAGGCTTACGCCTTGCCTCACGAATGAAAAACGCCTCAATACCCGAATACGCAATTTTAAACATTGCATAAAATACTAAGATACAATTGATCCTCTACTCGAGAGGAGGATCTTTGTAAAACCCGGAATTTGACGATCATAGGCGTCGCACGCATTTCGATACGTGACGACGAAACTTAAGTGAAAATGCAAGGTTAGCAAAATTTGACGGAAGTAATTTTATAAAATTCTATGTAAATTTCTGAACAATTTGATATATAGAACCTATAATTAATTTTGTGTATTTTGGGAATTATAAAATTTAGAAGTTTAAAAATACCCAAACTACCCCTAAGCAAATAAAATGCCTGAATTGTTTAAGGGTATAATGGTCTTTTGGCAATTCCCTTTCTCCCTAATATATCAACCGAACCCCCTCCCCTTCTCATTTCATTCGGCCAAACCGAAACCGAGTGGAAGAAGGGCGGACGGGTTGGCTTCGACGGGTGTGGCTTCGGCGAGGAATTTAGTGGAAATCGAAAAGGAAGATAAGGGGAATACAAAGGTATGTTTTGTTTGAATCGAATTCCTCTCAATATCAAGATTTTTGGAGTAGAAATTTTTAGGGTTTTACAAAAATTTCATTTTCTTTCAAAACTTCTTTACGAAATTTTTAAGGAAGGATCAGGGAAGTATTTTAACGATAGCAATGAAGTTTTATTGGAGAATTTTTTGAAATAAAAAATTAGGGCTTTTACCTAAAATTGAATTTCCTTAAAGCGCTTTTACAAAAGCGATTTCTAAGGGTCTTAGGAATGTTTTTAAAACAAAATTTTGTGTTTTTGTAAGAAATTTCATTTTTTATAATTTTCTAATTAATTAAATCCGAAAAAAATTAAGGTAATTATTAAAATAGGTTTAGAAGAATTTTTAGCATAATGATTTAAGTGAAATTTAAGATTTAGGGTTTCCTAAAATTTAGATTTATGATAGTTACGAAAATAAAATTTTAATTATATTAATTATTGAAAATTTCTGTGATTTATGCTTAGTTCAGTTGTAATTATCCTTAGATGTGGATTAAGGAGACGACACGTGGTTAAGTAACGTCGTGCAGCGTAGTGATTATTGTTCGATTTTTGCAAGGTAGGTGATTACATTTAAATTAAATTTATAAAATTTAATTAAGTATTACTGCACTTTCAAAAGTTACAAGTTAATGTTTATAATTTCTTTATTATTGTTTTAGCTTTTCATTTATTATTTATACATATAACATGTTATTTAGAACGTTAAAGCTAATTAAACAAATTTTAGGCATAAGAGATACAAAATTTTATTACCCAATAATCATTGAAAAATGTACGATGTAATAAATAATTTTTAGTCTCCTTTATGTATATAACTATTATAAAGTGCATGTGCATGATGATCTGGAAGTGCTAAATGGTAATGGGGTTTTACGGAGCCATATGGTAATAGGGTTCTACGGAGTCAAATGGTAATGAGATTCTTCAGAGCCAAATGGTAAAGGAATGGCGAATATGACTGTGTACCTGATCAGTACAAAACTGTGATACTTCCGGGACAGGTGCTTATTATATTATGATTAAGAAATTTATGCATTATTATGGAGGAATTTAAAGAAAAGGAAAGTTTTATGAAAAGAAAGAAAGAAGGATTAAAGGAAATATTTCAAAGTAAATGATTATGAAAATGTCTTATAACTCATGCCTATAAATGTTTATTATGATCTCTTATTAGTTCATTTTCATGCTTAATAACATGTTTAAAAAGAAAAGAAAAATATTTCATGAATTTAAGATAAATGTTTATCACCTGTATCACCTGCTGAGCGTTGGCTTATCCTATTTATTAGAAATATTTTTCAGGAGATAGAGTTAAGAAGTGATGGCTACGAGACAATTAACACTTACTGTCGTAGAGGATCTCAGGAAGAAAAGTTTTAGGTTTTCTATTTTGAGTTTGAGTTAGTGGATTGTATTTGAGGAGTCTGTTGGCGTTTATATGATGTTTATGTGTATATGGATTTTTAGTGGTTGTGATTTAAAAGAACTTTATTGGATAAACTTTCAGTTAATGGTTTTAGTGGCTCTTCCTCATTATATATTGATGATGTTTATGTTATGTTATAAATATATAAATGAAAATGTTATGATATATGTTATGGTGTTTTTCGTACGACTATCTGCTCCCACCCCGTTAATTCGGGCTAGCCGGATCGGGTTGTGACAATGTCTCCCAAATCTCTAGATGCCGCTAGAGCCCAAAGAAACTAAGAGATCTCAAATTTCAGCCACAAGATGTAATAACCCTAAGAAAACCAACTATTAAATGTATACAATTCGAAAGGAAATCTTTAAACAATCCCTATTCATTCAAATTTCCCTCCCAAATCCCTAAAATATCCTTCCAAAATAGTTCCCAAACCCTTGAGGCTTGTGTTCGGCGCGTACAAGAGGAGGACATTTCTGCCTCTGTTCGAGTAAGCAAGTCTCTTCGGACCGGCTGGATCGGTCCAATGGACCAGTCAAATAATACTCCATTCCCAAAGATCCACCTTGTCCGCAAGGTGGAAAGATGACACCCTCCTCCATTCCTTCTTTATCACAAATGATAAGAACATGAAGAGTTCGGTCCTTATACCTATGCCCCGACGTATTCCTCTTGTCACATCTAAAGCAGAGCCACTTCGCCCTTTTCACTTGTAATTCCGTTTCTGTGAGCTTCTTGAAGCTGTCCCTAGGTCTTACTCCTACAATCTTCTCCTTCAAAGTCTCCCGAAAAGTACTCGCTGTTGGCTCCTTAGATGCCAGAAAGGTGGTGGTCCTTCTGTTCGGACCTCCTGAGCTGCTGCCTCCCACCTCTCTCAAGGTGCCTCCGATCATCCACCAATTGATGTAGCTCCATAACCTCTCCTATGTCATGAGGCCTCATTACTCTAACCGCTGCCTGGATCTTTAGTGTCATTTCCTTCATAAAATTTCCCTCTAGCACTGTCTCAGGAATGCGGTTCAATCGGCTAGCAAGAAACTAAGAGATTTCAAATTTCCTATAACTATTGGTTTGACCTAACGACTCCACAAATTAAATGATTATAATGAGGTTCTATAAGCACTGGTTTGGCCAACAATTCCACAGAACCAATAGTTCAGCCCAACGACTCCACAAGGTAAATGATTACGAAGGCACTCCGATCCTACATGCTCTCTGATAGTTAATACCTTTGAGTAATGAATCATTAAGTAAACTTGATAGGGTATAAAACCATCTGTTAGTCAAGGTTAACTTGAATTTATCTCTTACACAAACACCCACAATAAGTTTATAAGATACTCTTGTATGAAACAACTCATGATAGCTGACAAGGATTCCATAGTCAGGTTAGCTCAACAACATCCTCTGAATAAGAATGCTAGGGACCATGTTGACCATATGTGATGAAACCACGGGATCTTGATTATGTTCATTATCATTCCCTCCACATCGACTTTTAAGTACAAGATAGTAAATTTTAAATCATAAACATCAATCTCAAAATACCAAAACTGTTGCTACTATATGCTACGTACTTAGTACCTAGCTAACAACTAGCCTTACTCGAAAGTGTTCTGATATCGAGAGGGGTAATTAATCATAAGGGCTTGCATTTATGGGAAACCAAAACTTAGATCTCAAAGTCCTCGCATATGATAATGAAATCTCTGGGTAGTGTCTTATTTCTTATCCCTAATCAATCTATCTTCCGAAAATTTCCCCCATAACTTAATCCATCAAACACTCCCCAAATATACACGGAGAAGTTGGTACACTAAAAAGATGAAGTTTTAGAGCCGGAAACAATACTAACTGGAGACGTAATATTCCCATGCACGTAAAGGAAAAGGATTACCTACCCTAAAGGATTAGATTTGGAAAATGTTATAAGATTATGTGCCTTTAATGGTATAATTTAGATGGTGACTCCTGTAATAGATGTATTATAACATAACATAAAACATTTAAGATGATAAAGTTTCTCTTTACTTACCATCCATGACAACATAATATATATTGATGTAAATATGAGCTTTTTGTATGGCAAAAAGATCACTTCTATGATTAGTTATTACTAAAATTAAATGCAATAGTTTGTACTTGTATTTGTGAACGTATGTAGTATGGAGAAATTTTTCTAATATATGAATTGTTTATAAAAAAAATTTTATGTGGTTAGACTCTTTTCAAATTGGAAGAATATACAATTCAAGTAACATAAGATTATTTAAAATTTCAATTCGACCATTTATTCCATCCTTAATATTCTAAGCTGTTGTGTTGGGTCATGGCAAGGCAAGGGGGATCTTTTGCATTCATGTTAACTACAATATCAATTTCATAATGGAAAAAAATAAAATAAAATAATCTATTGACTCTTTATGAAGGACCAAAATGATCTCAACTATATTAAATGATCATTTCGGTCCCTCAATGCTTTAAATAGGAATCAAAATAGTTCCATGGTGGAACTATTTTTATTCCTCTTTAAGGAGTTAAGTGACCAAAATAGTCTTTTAATATATGAGACTATTTTTGTTCATCTTTAAAGAGTTAAGTGATCAAAATGATCTTTTAACATAGTTGGGGATCATTTTGATCTTTCATAAAGAGCCGAGGGGTTAGTTTGATGCTTTTCTCATTTCATAATTTATTCTAACTGAATGTGATGTCAATGATGAACAAGGGATGCAGCATCACGTAAGACAAGTTTGAAGCATCTCAATGGCATAATAAGCCACTTAATGTCTCACGCTTTCACAAACAGGCTACGTCGAGTTGGGAAAAGCCAGGGATGCAGGTATCGTTTCTTGAACATGTGCGCTTGCTTGTAATTTCGTTTCGTGTTCTACCTATGTGTAAGAAGGCCTGGGGGATACATGGGCTTCGCAATCAGAAGGGAAGGCTGCAATATGAAAACCACAAGCAAGTGTTCTACAGGTGGATAAGGGGAATTAGTTTACAGGAGATTTTTATTTTTTCCTACAAGTGGTAGAGGCATTGAGATAAAGTTTAGATATTATTTTCATCAAATAAGCTCATTTTTAATCCAGTGTTCTCCAACCTGCCACTCAACCAATTAAAGAACAGAGGCTGTAAGGATAAAAGGGCTTAGATATGGAATAAAGAATGTAATGTCATCTCAGCAAAATAAGAACATGTTCATAATTATTTCGTTTAAAGACATTGGAGATGCTCAGAACTATTCACGTCTTGTGGCTTTAACATTTCGTTTTCTTGCTTGATTTTACTTTCAGGTTTAGAAAATTATACTAATAATATTTTTCATGTATGTATAAATTAATCTGCCTTTTAAAGTACCCTATTCCAGCTCACATGATCCAGAAATTTCTTTGAGAGCCCACAATTACCAAATTCAAAAGTTCAACCACACATTAATATCCTGTACAGATATACATTACAATTAAAGGCTATTCTTTGTGGTTTAGGGAATTGGCTCTTAATCAAATTCAGTTTCAAAAAAAAAAAAAAAAACATAGATACATTATAAATCTCATGCATTACCAAGTACAAAACTTCGGCCAAAAATTAATATCTTAAATCGCTAACAAACTAGAAATAAAGGACATTCCTTGCCGTTTTGAAATTAAAGCATATGAGAGAGCTTACCTGTGGTGCTAGGGAGAGAAACTTGTATGTATCTAAAGCATATCGAACTAATGCCTCATTCTCTCCCGGGTTTATTGTACAACTATGAGCATAAAATACGTTATATCAATAGGGGCTCAAATTAAGCCAACAACATAAAAAGTGTAATTAAAAAAAAAAAAAAAAACCAAAAAAGCGGATTAGAAACTGTATCTCTTTAGCCATTGTAAGAAATAAATACAAAATCGTCATATGACTGAACAAAAGAAGAGACCCGGAATCTTCCATGTTTTATCCATAATAAATTAGATTCCTTCAAATCCTAAAAAGCTAAACATGTAAGAAGAATAAAAATAACTAGAGTGGGAGTTCGCATATGATTAATCAGCTGCTATAGTAGTTTCTCCGTATATCCCTGATTATATATGGCATATCAGTGAGCAATATGTCTTGTCAATCAGTCATGTTCTCCTAGTTTGCATGGATGATGCTTTCACAAATTTAGGGATGAGAAAAAACTCTTAAAATTTTGAAAATTGATAAAAAAATTACTAGTTTCATCTATTTTTCAATGGAAATATTTGGTGGATGACAACTCTTATAAAGTGAAAAGTTAGAAAAATTGAAAAAAGTTTATGAAGATAAAAAGCTAAGGATCAGTAGAACAAGAACTGAATAATTGATATGCAACTTCAATGAATGTAAAATTAATAATCAATAAGCATTGCGGAAAAAATAATTGATATTTAAAAGTAAATTTTCTGAACTATGATTAAATCACTATTTTATATCAAAATGTTAAAAAATAAAAAAATTCACTAATAGTCATGTTTAATGTTGACCCATACACTAAGAAACACACGAAAAGAGACAAAATTGGCGACTCAAGCGACGATCAACGAGCATGGCACATCACTAAGTGGTCAAACAATCTCCAATCACTAAATGGACAATGCCGTTGCAATTGGAGCATCAAATTTACCTAAAAGGGAGCCCCTCAGTCAAATCGGGTAAAAATGCTCAAAATCAAAGACCGACACCCAAAAGTGATGCACGACATTATCCAAACGATGCTCGATCGCAAAACGGTGTTCGTTATTGTGTTCGAAACATCTTCATTGCCAAAAAACGATTGTAATTTTGCCCAATAAAAATTGTGCGAGAAAATTAGGGCGAATCCTAAGGAGATGATGCGCGCAAATCTAGACAAAAATTATGTCTTATTTTTCTTCATTTTTTGTCATAATAATAATAATAATAATAATAATAATAATAGTTCCGTTTACTGTGCTGCCCCGTGGGTTTCTGATGCAATCAAAAATTTGAGAGAGGGACCCAAATTTTTTATCACAAAAACAAGAACTCTTTCTAGGATGATAGAAAGACATAAAATACTTAAAAGAACACAAATACTATAAAACACAACTTTATATAATAAAATGAGACTTACAAACTTTTGACTCAAATGACACTTACAATTTGGACGCTTACAAACTTTGACACCAACAAAATGACACCCTAAACTTGCTTACTTTGAGAAGAGGTTTACAGGTGAGGTGGCACTTGCGGATAGAAGAAAGAGATTAGGAGACGAGACGAAGGTTGGAAAGAGCCCGCAGGATTTCCAAAACAAAAACCTCTCAGGTTTTCTCTCCAAAAATAACTCACATCATCTTTTTTCATCACATCTTATGCCAAAGCATTTCATACTTATAAGCAAAGAAGAAAGCCCAACAGCCAATGCACCCATAATTCCTCCAATAAACTTTAGGGATAGGAAAAGCCAAAAGAGACACTTCAATTCCAAAGCAGCAAATCCCATAGGTTTTCCAAAAGCCACTTAGGAAAACATCCCAGCAGGAATCATTGGTAACTCACGGCACCAAGCAGACAGGCTGAATTTTCAAAGCAGCACATTAACAGGAAAAAGCATTCCTTTTCAGAAATCAGCCCATTATTAAATCTGAAGAAAAAGCTATAGGAAACAATGATATCTCACGGCTCCATAAAGCAAGCAGCCCGTCCAAAGCAGCAAAGCATCGGGAAAATTTCATTCCTGTTGGAAATCAGCCCCATTTAAAATTAGCACAGGAAACAAAGGGCTAATTCATGGAACCAAAGAGCCCATGTAACGGTAAGCAAGCATCCCATCAAAGCTTTATATTCTCTGGAGCCAAAAGTTCATGGAAAAATGGCTCAGGCATGGAAATATCAACCGGCTGCATTAAAAACATTAACTTTCCAATAAATTCAAAACATAGAATTCAGCCCCCAATTAATACAAGCCACGGTTTTCCAAGAGACAAAAAAAGGGGAAGGGGAAGGGACAAGGAAAAAAGGGGGAAAGAGAAAAAAACATTCTAAGAAATAATGAGCTAATTTTTATTTCAATAAATGAACTAAAAATCAGCTCATAATGAGCTAATTTTTTTACTAGACATTAATGAGCTAGAAGAGTCAAAAATCAAATAATAGGATTTGAGTTGACCCCCCCCTTGCCTACATCAGTTTCCCCTCTGGCTGCTTGTCCCATGGCTTCTTTTCCCTATTTTTTATGTGGCTGTTTGGGTGCTGTTTTGTACTGACTTTTGGCCCTTCCATTTACCATAATTTAATGGGTTTAATTAGAGGTTATGGTGACTGTTTGGCTGCCCCTTTTTCTCCTATAAATATGAAGTGTTTTGTAATAGAAAAAAAGATGTTATGTGGAGATTTTTGGAGTAAAAAACCTGAGGGTTTTTCTTTCTTCTTGGAAAAGCTTGCAAGATTGTTCCTTTTCTCTTCCTCTTGGGAAAGCTTGTGAGCTTGTCCTCTCTTCGTCTCGGCTTCTAACCTCTTTCTTCTCTCCGCAAGTTCGACATCATCTGTACCTTTCTTCTCGATTAAGGAATGCAACTTTAGGAGCTTTTATTTAAAAGTTGTAAGCATCATTTTTATATTATAAAGTTATTTTAAGAGGAGTATATTGTATATGTTCTATATTCTAGGAAGTGTTTTCTTTTTGCTTGCAAAAATTAGGTTTTTCCTAATTTTTGCTTGCATCACAACCCCTTCCTTAGGTCCGACTTCTCGCGCCTCTTCCTGCTTACACTGAATGAAATAAGCAACCTGTAACGCAGTGCTACGACCTGCCTATAAACAATGCTAATAAATTTACGTTGAACGCAATACATCTACAAGTGATAGCTAGTGGCTTTTGAATGACCACTACTTGCTAGTAAGAGTTTAGTACTACACGATAGTTAGCCTGCAAGAAACAACAAGCGACCCACAGCGCAGTACTATGACCCATTTACACGCAACAGCTCGTGACTCCTAAATGCCTAATGCTGGAGCACAAACAATGTTAGCAAAATTTGCATTGTGCGACAACCTATTTGCATGAAGCAGCAAATGACCTGTAGTGCAACACTACAATTCAATTGCAAGCATAGCAGAGAAATTTTAGTAAAAACTATGGATCACTAATGGATGATTCATGATGCATCATACAACTCGCTTGCAGGATGAAGTCAACTCCCGTTGGCTGAATACTAAAAAATATGACAACACAGAAGATAAAATGAGCAAAACCATATTGCCGATGCGCTACAAATGAAATTCAACGCACAATGAATACACCACCAGATCTACAACACTCGTACAAACAGACAAAAGGCGTTTACAAGCTTCTAAATAGCATGGTTTAAAATTGCGCAATATGAGGCTCGCCTTTGCGCAATTCCAGAAAAAAACGCCTCGATGCTTACGCCTCGAGTTTTTTTTTATGAGGCTTGCGCCTCAACTTGGTTGAGGCCCGCCTCGCCTCACTGGCATGAGGCTTACGCCTCATGCTATATATATTAAAACTTACATAAATCTTGAAGTAAATGCCAGACATTGGACTCTATAGGAGAGGAGGAAGGGGAGAGAGCAGTTCATCATAATGATGATTCAAATGAAGAACCCCTTAGTGATGACAGTGCTGATGACTTATGAGTTCTTATGTGATATATCATTGCTATTTATTTTTGGAAATTTGAATTATATGTTAATGAAAAGAATACTGGGATTTGAAAAAGATAGAATTTTGAGTTGAACTATATTTCATGTTGTCTTATTATTGGGATATTTTGATTTAACTTCATATCTTATACTTTTTTATGTTTTATATTATTCACTCATTAGTATATAAAAAATTTATCATTTTCTGTTTACGTAATCTTTTGATTTTGAGGCTTACGCCTCAAAACGCCTTGAAGCTTACGCCTCGCCTCACGAATGAAAAACGCATCAATACCCGAATACGCAATTTTAAACATTGCTAAATAGAACACTGTGTACACTCAAATGACCATTATTAACACAACTAACTAGTATAAAACACTTTAAAATGTCCTCCCACATGTATTGCGACAAGTAGAATACATCATTAAAGCATGTCATTCAACATTGCAAGATGCATCATGCTATAGAGGTGCATCACAATATATGCAAATACATTGCACATACATACATTATATATTATACAAATGCATTAAGCGACCACAAAAAGGGGTTATGCAAATATGCAAAAAACACTTAAATGCACTCTATAAGTATATCATGCAAATGCATCATATCATTCATGCAAGTTCATTGTACTATCTAATGAATTTACTATGCGGCTATACAAATTCATAGCGTAATTGATGTAAGCATGAGCACCCTACAAAAACGGATATTATGCACACCATTTCAAATACACTAATCAATCTACAAATATGAATACCCGCATGGGCCCCGACGAGCATGACGTATGTACACACATGATGTCTAAAGATGTTCCGCGGGTCAAGAAATGAACTTAAATTCAGGCCTAATCCTTTATTGGAAAAAAGGCATTTGACATGGCTTGAATCATCAAACAAATACATGATCGTAGCGCCAATCGAAGAATTTGATTTTTTACGTTCATATTAAGCCTTCAAAGTATCTTACAAAGAAAATTCACAACAAATTTAATATCCCTGATTCCAATGTCCACACAACAATACCATTAGTTAAGAGCTCAACCTGATCCTATGTTTGCATGTAAACAGAGTCAACAATGTCCAATTAATGAAATGATCACATCCATTAATTCCCTGATGATGGCTATGATGACAGAAGATTCCAACCGAAGGGGACTCCAAACATTCAAAATACCTACAAATTCTCATAAAATACATGCAATTGACTTTAACGTATTCATGAATGACATTAATGTTTAAAATTAAAATAAAACGATAAAATACTTAAAGAAAAATACCGATCCATCCTCCATAACAGTTTGTTGATGTGGGCAAGTTTGAATAACATCTCAGCTCACAAAAAGTGAATGTCTAATCGACAATATCACTAAGATTAATTTTTAAATCATCTCTTGCTAGTAAGGATATGACACGTGTCCTTTAACTCGTGATCTCACCACCAAATGGCACCACAGGTAAACAGCTATAACCAGGAACCTCTGACCGGGTAGTTTTGACGCTAAATGACATCACTAAATTACGGTTATGGTCAGAGCCCGTATATTCCCCAACGGAGTTAAATCTTTGAGTAATGAATTAATAGGATATGATCGATAGGGTACAAAACCCTTTGTTAGCTAAGGTGGACTCTAATGTCCCCTTAGGCAAATATTCATCCCATATCTATAAGGTACTCTTGGACGAAGCAACTCATGACTGTCGATAAGGATCCTTAGGTTAGGTTGGATTGATGACCTCCTTTGACTGGGTAGACCAGGGACCATGATAACCTAGGATGACAGAACCATGAGATCTTGATCTGGTCAATCATCATTCCCCCAACCATCACCTTCAAGTGCAAGGATGATGTAGACAAGGAATATAGGGGACCCTATATTTCTTGAACACAAAAAACACATAAGAAGAAAACTGACAAAATGAGTAGAACTTAAAACAAACTTTGTTAAATAAACTCAAACGACCCAAAACTTGACAAACACAACAAAAGATGCTAGGAGATTTTAAAGAAATAAAGAAACTTAAAAAGACGCTATCCTCAGACAACCGTCAGAGCGGGTTCCTCACATGCATCGAATTTGTAGGTTAAATAAGTAAAGTGCATAGAACTAGCAAACCGATGGTCCACCACTGCAAGATTGGCCAATTTCTTCAACAGATGCTTCAAATCAACTCAGATACGACACCCTAAAGTTGCTTTACTTTGAGAAGAAGGATAGATATGGAGTGGCACTTGCGGAGAGAAGAAGAGATTAGAAGCCTGAGAAGAAAGGGTGGAAAGAGCCCGCAGGATTTCCGGAGGGGATGAGAAAAGAAGGTTGGAAAGAGCCCGCAGGATTTCCGAATAAACCCGCAGGTTAATAGCAAATATGCTCACAAATATCAACTGCTTTTCTTCACAACAACTTCTCATATATATAGGCAAGAGAGAGGAATGCCAAGAGTCACATGTATTAATTTCCAGTATAGAAATCTTCCCCCCATGCTCACCATGAACCAAAGAGACATTCAACAGGCCGAAAATTCAAAGCAGCCAAGCCATGAATTTCGGAAACCAGCCAGCATTAAATCTGTTACGGGAAACATAGGAAACTCACGACACCAAAGAGCCAAATTCTCGGAAAGCAAACAGCCCGCCCGAATCCAAAGCAGCAAAGCATCGGGAAAAACAGCACAGATCGGGAAAACAAGGCTGGCTGAATTCCCAAAGGAAAAGCATTAAAAACAATAACTTCCCAATGAATTCAAAGCATAGAATTCAGCCCCCAATTGATACAAGCCACGGTTTTCCAAGAGACAAGAAGAAAGGGGAATGGGAAGGGACAAGGCCACTCCAAAAGTAAGCTTCATAATGAGGTACCTTTTTTTGGAATTTAAAGAGCTACTAAACTTCAGCTCAAGCAACTTAGGGAACAAGCTCAAAACCGAATGCTCCAAAACAGCCAACCCGAGAACCACTAGCAGCCAGGGACCAATCGAGCCAGCAAACCAAAGGTCTACCAAGTCATATGCACTTCCTACCACGATCATTGGATGCTTTCCCATCATTGGATAGCTAAAAAAGAAAAGAAAATAAAATAGAAAACAAAACATACTATTGTTCAAATAAAATAAAAAGTACAGAATTTCTTGATTTCATCAAAGGTGGTGAATTTTTAATTTTAAATGCTTAAACATGTTGCTACTATACACCATATACTATGTATCTGTTTGACGACTAGCCTTAATCGAATGTTCTCTCTTGTTACCGAGAGGGATAATTAACTATAAGGTTTGCGCCTATAATAAACCTGAACTCAGATCAGAAAGACCTCGCAAATAAGGGCGAAATCTCTAGGTAAAGTCATATCTAAACCCTAATGTGTCTTCTGAAAATTTTTCTTGGAACCTAAACTCGTTAAAACTCTCCTCAACAACCCGAAAAAGAAAGAGGGTCACGACGCAAATTTTCGAAGCCCACACTTACTAACATAGAAAAAGAATATTAAGATAGACATATGATAAAATAGTAAAAAATTGAGTGAGAAATGACTATTTAAGAGGAATACAAGTCATGCTAATTGAATAAAAAATAATCTAAGTTCTTAGCATGCACAACATAGGATAGAATATAAACCAATAAAACTAGTTGATAAAATTAACTTAAAAGAATTAGAAAAAACAAGGGGTAGAATAAATGCAATAATGCTAAAAAAATTATGCAAAAAAGAATTCACAAATGGAATAACATATGGAGCTTTAAAGAAGAGTGAATAGAGGAGTGTGCATAAATATATCCCCAATAATTGAGATAATGCTAATATTAATGAAGTTGAGTTACCCTATAAGTGCAATATAGGGTAAATCATTACATAAATCCCCCAGTGTTCGCATAAGTCTGTCTTTGTGGGAGTGCAAGCATATTAGTGCTAGCCTAATATTTGCGACAAAATATAAAAAGGAAAAAATCGGTTATCATGTGATTAGTTAGTGTGTTGAAATGATAAGAATTGCTTTCTTGTTAGGGCTAATTTGAATTTAGTTTAACTGAAAAAAAAAAGATGATCAATGAGACTCAATTCAAGAGAGAAAATGAGATTTTATGTTACAATAAAAATATTATTTTATCATTGAAAGGACATAAGATTATTGTTTTCAATTGTCATTTATGTTTAAAAAAATTAAAACTGCCCCTGGTTGAGCATTTGCAATAATAAATTCCTGGCTTTTAAATTATTTTTTTATACAAGATAAAAGGCATATGATAATTAAAGCTCATTCCAGTATTTGAAAACTTTTAAATCTACATTTTTCCCATGTGAATGTACCTTCCATAGCCATAAAGCCTCATTATGTTGATACTTAAAAAGGATTTAATGTTTTAGTCCATGTTCTATCTTTAAACATTAGTATTAGTTCTCCTTTACTGATGCAACTATTTACCAATTCGATGCACCATCAAGCTTCCAATTTGTATCTTGTTGCGATAGGTGGAGAACTTGCCAGTCAGCGTGCTTCTATTTCTACAGCTGGCACTTCTATTGGTAACATCGAAAAAGTTAAAGCCATTCTAACACGATGAACATATCATCTTCCCTCACGGGATTTCACCAGTTTACTCGCCAAAAGATGTTCTTCCTACCCTGGAAAAATAATGTAGTACAATAAGACAATTGGTTTATACAAACTTAGTTTCACATTGCAAAGATAGAATTCAAAAAGTCAAGCAAACATTCAAGTCTATCTTGCCTCGTCATTTTTTGTGGCCATTTTCATATACTTGTTTTTATTTTTTAATGCAACAAGTATAAGGTTGGTGGTTTTTTCCCCCTAAGCAAGGCTTTATTTTACTTCTATAAATAAGACCTTATGTATAGCCTCTTAAAATTAATCAAGGATTATAAAAATAATGAAAAGCTTTCCCTCTCTTTTCTTTGCTTCCTATCTTCTTTCCTTATGGATTCAACAACCCAGTGTCATGATGATTCAACATAAACAACTTGTGATTTGTCGTTCAACATATTTTATTATGCTTTCCTCGTATTTTCAACTACCTCTACAACAACCAAAAAAGAATTTGTAACCGGCAGAGGAAGAAGTTAGAGAACTAAGTGATACAATTACGTTGTCCCCAAAGTAATTTGAAAGCCATCGGTTCCAAGCATAAAAATAGCGGCTAATACAGGGATATCATTGAGTACATCATCTCCTTCTCGAACCCCCAATTTGAAGGAGGCTCGTGATCTAAGGCCTGCTTATTGTAAACAGAAGAATAACATTAAAAAAAATAATGAAAAATTACGTTAAACTTAAACCATTTATAGGACAAATATTTAAAAGTAATTTGATGAACCATAACCAGTAAAATAATTAAACTTCCAAAAACCTGATAGTTCCTCATCAGGAACGTGTAAAGTCCAAAGTCAATTATGTACTTATAAATTATCAATTCATTTAAACGTGAAATAAAGCACAGTTTCAGATAACTTCTATGGCTATGTTTAACAAAAAGAAAACCCATAAAGCTTACGTGGAATATACAATGACTCCTCCAGTACGAACTAATTGAACAGCCTGATCAAACATTTTTCTTTGATACTTAGCATGAGTTTGCAAGGATTCCATTGTCTCCTACAAGAAACAAAATATCATCATTAACATGCAATTAGATCAGACAAGAACACAATTGCATAAAAATGAACGTACATGAAACCTCGTATCGCTGGTTTTTCTACAGACGGTTTCATTTTGCCATTTAACACAAAAATGCTGACACTCTAGATTAGTGTGCAATACTACCCATCTTATATTTTTTAAATTTTTCCTTTGCTAGACTCTTTAGGTGCTTCTAATGCATAAAAAACAATTATACCATGAACTTGAGCTTAGATATGGATAATATTTGCATCAAGAACTTGAAAGTACGTAACTACAGTTGTTTAATTATCTCTTCTACATTTTTAACTCTGATGTGTAAATCCTATACCGCAACTGTTCTTATAAGCTTCCAAGTCAGCATGAATGATTGATGAAATTATGATGATAGTTTTCTTGTTTTCATCTTTCTCCTTTTCATCTATTCCTATTCATCTAAAGGGTTAAAATGCTACTATTTGAAAAGTGTGGAACCTGTACCCACACCAGAAAAGGAAATTGATAAACATATATGGATTGACTGACATACAACAAAAAGCACTCATATTAACAACTTGATCATCCAAAATCACAATCCCCCAATTAGATCTATTACTACTAAAATTACACTCCATATAATTAGTTTTAGATCTACTCAATGAAAACCTTTAGACTCTAAGGTTGACCTCCATAATTCAAATTTACCTTCAACTCCCTCTCTAGACTTATCAACAAGAAGCATATTGTCACGCCCCAAGATCTAACTTGGAAAGAATGTCAATCTATTTCTCAAACAATTTACCAGAGCTATCTAAAACCTTCAATTAAACGGTCTATCAAACATCTATAAAATTTAAAACATCAATATACAAGTCGATTCATATCTCAAAAGGTCGTGTACAATACTCAGGAACTACACTACAATCACCAGTACTGAAATCTATCCTGAGTACAAAAGAATCAAAATCATCAAAAGACAAAAACCTGTAGATCCGGATCAATTCCTATCTTCTGCTCCCTTGCCCTGACCTGAAAATATCAACCACATATAATGAGCTTTACAAAGCCCAACAGGTCACCTAATACCTATAACTGAGATCAAAGCACGGCGATGCTATCAATATGCATGTCAGTCAATCAAACCCATATCAGTCAATGGTCAATGAATCTATGCAACGGAAATCCAATAGTCAATAAAGCCAGTCAATGCAGCGGCAGACGAATCGATAAATCAACTCAATAAATCCATGTCAATCTCGAAGAAATCCGTACACAGAGAAAATCAATCAATCCGGTCAAAATCCAGTCAAATCCGTCCGTCAAATCAATCCGTTCAAATCAAATCAATACTATCAAGTCGATAAATCAATCCGGAAAAAAAAACGATAACGAATAAATCTCAATCCTATCTCAATATCGATAAAATCAACAAATATAGCAAGTCAAATCAAATACAATGAGAATCAATCTAATAAGGGCAATACCAATATCTATCAGCATCAATGAATCTATAATGTTCCACCATTCCATATCCTATATCCAGTTATATCCATATCAAATGTCAATAATCAATTAGTATCCATGCTACAATGAACAATACATGAAATCTATAAATCCGTACAAACAGTAAATAACCCGATAAAATTCAATAAAGCAGAAAATCGATTAAAAACAATAAATCCAATTACAGTCAATACAGTAACATGCAATAATTCAATACAATAATACTGAAACAAAGCTAACAAAACAAGCTGGCAAACATAATAGTTGCTGTTAGATAGACAACAATGAATCATGATTGGAGAATATCCAATACGTTTGTATTCACATAACAAAGCAGTCGTCACTCTATTGCCCGTCGGGAAACCGCCTCGGTCAAAAAAAAAAAAAGACAATAATCTATAACCCCTTATGACTCCCAATCGTTAATCAATGATCAATGGTTTAAAGCAGAGCCCGTCGGCCCACCATCCTGTACAGTGTCAATCAATCTCCAACCAACGTTCAACAGGTTCCACTGTATTTCGGTTATCAATAATCAATTCAATAATCAATTCAAGAATCAATCAATTAATCAATTCCCAATTAATCAATATAAACAAAATTTAAAACAATCATATCAATAGTCAATGCCACATACAATTCAGTCTATTAATTTCAGGAAAAATTTCGAAAATCATACGAAAAACGGGCAGAATGTAACGGCCGTCTATCAAACTTACACAAAAAATCCGCAAAAAGCAGAATCAAATTTCTCCAAATTCAGTAGAATATCCACGACATCAATCAAGGCGACTATTATTCTATAGATTCCAAATCAAATCAGTCTGATATTTTTCTATTCAATTTAAATAATCGCGTTAGAATCAATCCGACCGGTAAAATTCGTCGTTAGAAAGATACTCAATCGTGTACAATAGTCATAATCTATAACTACCAAAAGTACGGTGAATTGAAAGTTTGTCAATCGAATCATGTCCAAAAATTCGCTACGAAAACACAAAACAGTGCACAAACTCGATCAAAACTAAAATATCTGAAAACAGGAAATAGGATTCGAGTCCGTACCACGAGATCTGTCACTTTCCCAACAGCGGCGTTTCGGACGAAAAGCGCTTCGCGGCCTCCGAAACCCAGGATTTCCTCTTTTCCCTTTTCTTTCTCTCTCCTCAAATCAGATATTTTGTTTTTAAAAATGATTTTTCTCTCTCCTCAAAACGAGCCGATTTTCTTATATCATTAGGCTGATCGGCCCGGCCGATCGCAAAATCGTCCCGGGACGATCAGACCAAAATCGATCGTCCTGGACGGTTCCAGAACTATTTTCAGGATGGTATTTTGAGACAGTACAGATCGTCTCTGGACGATCTCAATATCGTCCGAACGATCCTGGGAGGAAATCCAATCTAGAGAGGAACAGTAAGGGAACGAGGTCTCACACATATCATCAGCAAAAAGCAACATCATGGTACAACCTTCTTGCAATGTCCAGTGAGAATATCCATGACTAAAACAAAAAAATTATGGTTCTTAGGGCTAATCCTTGATGTAATCAACAAAGGTCGGCTGACGATAACCCGACGTCGCTCTACCTGCTGAACTCCAACAAAGTAGCCAAATCCATCTAACCTAGCCGCACTATACCCACTTCTCCTTACCAGTACGTCTACCCAGTCCCTAACCTATGATGCACAGACACAGACACGACGACAGACACATACACGGGACACATCAATTATTGAAAATATAGGACACGAGCACATGTTGGACACGGTATTATAGTTTTATATTTAAAAATAATGTATAAAATTAAATAAGTATAATTTTAAATAATATAATTGAAATAATAAGTTATTTAATAGAATTTGTGCTTAAAGATTTAGTATTATGATGTCGAGAGTAGGCATCTATGTCGTTTATCGTCACCGAGAGAGGAGATGAAAATACCTTCACTGCAAAGAGAAATGAAAATGAAAAGAAAATATTCGCATGAATGGGTATTAAGTGTGGACCATTGATTTGGTGTTGTGGATAGGAAATAAGAAATTTAGTTTAAATCCAACAAAATACAATAAATTATATTAAACAAAAGTCATAAATATTTAAGATACATGTGTCGATACGCGTGTCCAATTTGTATTAAATATTTTTTTAATCGGACAATTTTTGGCCTGTGTCGACATGTGTCGGACGAGTGTCTTGTCGGATACATGTCCGACACTACACGCCTCTTTGAGGAGAAGTGTCGGTGCTATCATAACTTTATAACCCGCCATCTACTGAAGCTGCAAGACTCCACTTCTTCTCTCAATGTACCCACAACTTTAAACTTTTATCCATAGCTTACAATGACTCCTGCTTAGCTATACTCCCTCATACAACTCCATAGCTAGCTAATAACTCAATCAATTCAGCCTTTATTATACTATCCAAACCAATCCACTCAAATAAACCACTCCAAAACACTCTACAATCAAACCTCATGAACTCAATCTGACACAAACAGTGAGTTTTCTTATTATTCCTTTTTTTAGTGTTATTTATTTGTACCAACTATTATTAGTAACAAGTTAAATTGATGTCATTAATACTATATATACTTAATATATATATATATATATATAATATATATATAATTTATATATATATATATATATATATATATATATATGTACCTTTCATTGTCGTTATCGCCGACTTCAACTATTACGCAGGTATAAAAATCTCTAACTTAAAAATCCCTCTCTTGACGTTTACGATGAGCCGACAAACCTCCCTACCCACTCATGTAGCACAGTGGAAGAGAAACCTGTGTGACGCTTGAGACGAGGTGCGTAAACATCGTAGCGCTCATGTAGCATGACGAGGATAAAAAAAATTAAGTACCCTTAACGCTCATGTAGTGCCGTGGGGGAAAGAAAAATTATGTTGTCTTTTAAACAGGTACCTGAAAACCATTAAGCGCTCATGTAGCATAATGGGGGTAGAAGAAAATATAACCGTGGTGTCATCCGACACCAACTTGAAGCACTCATGTAGCGTGGAGGAGAAGGCTAGTGTCCGAAAATTTCTCCTAATAGGAGAGACACCGGGAGGCCGCCAAAATTTTCGATGAAAACAGGGGACATAGAACTTGAACTTGCCACTTGAACAAAAAAGGACTTGGATCAACTTTGAACAGCAGATAACCAAACATTGAATTGGAAAACGCATCGTGTAATTTAAAATGCAAATCAACTGGATTGCTAAGTGATAAATGCATAACTACACTAAAACTACAAATGCTAAATGATCTTGATCATCCAAATGAACATTTGCGGAGCAAAAGATTTATAAAATAACATTTACTTCATGACATCAAATCCTAATGGAATATATTAGAGTTGTCATTTTAATTTGAATGCAAATGCTAACTAAAGAATGTTATTCATTCAAATCTCATGAAAATGAGCAAGGATCCATGTATAAATTCATTCCAAACTTTGTCGAAATTTTTG